GAGTGGCGGCGATGGCGAGCCATGGAGCGCCGCAGGGGGGAACCCCAGGGCCGGCCGGAGGATGGGCCTGAGGACGAACGGAGCAGCCGGAGCCGCGGGCACGGCGGGTTGAGGGCAAAAGGAAGCCGAGACCTCTGCCTGACTCTTTCCTCGAAACACTTTGGAACTCCGAGCACGCTACAAGGAGGAAGGCAGAAATCCCCTTCAGTCCCACTGAAGGTCTCCAGGGAAATGCAGCAAAAGGAGGAACCTCGTCGGCCAGAAACTGCAAGTGGTGGCCGCCACAAAATAGCAAAACAATGGGCAAAAGCCATTTGTGACCTGGAGACCGTGCCCAGAGCTTCAACAGCTCAGATTTAAAGCATGTGCAGGGCAGGGCATCCCTAGGGACAGAGGTGAGGGCAAGCCTGTGACACTGCAGCTGGACAAGTGCACTCTGTTCTGGTAGAAAACATAAAAGTTCCCCTCCTGTACCTTGCCTCCATCTGTCTGAAATGGCTCTGCCTCTTGAAAAAATGGGATGTCAGAGAAATGAAATAATAATAACAATAGGGTGGTACTGGCTGAGGGCTCCCAAAAGGAAGCAGAAATGGTCCAAGAGCTGCACTGAAAACTGTGTGAAAGAAGCAACCAAGTCAATAGTGGTCAAAGCAGAAATCAAAGAAAAGCCAGCAGCTTCTGCAGGGACCTGTGCTTCTTGATGCATTTAGCAGTGACAGAGTTTTCCATGGATGCAGTGTTAATTCCAGGCAGATTGTAAAATGTGGCTCATGCCAGTGGAGGAATTAGACTCAGAAAAGTGGCAGCAGTATAAGCTTGCAAAGCAGCCTAAAACATCCATGGTTTCTACTGTCAGTCTTGAGTACTGTGTTTTCAAAACGTTACCAGTAAACGTTTCAGGGGCACCTTCCTGAATACTGATGTATAATTTGAAATCTATCCCTTGCACCTTTTATTTTACTTGCATTTGTCAGGTCTACATTTGCCCCGCTGTTGAGGTTCAGGATGGTCAGTAAGTGCTGGGAATTCACACCAGATTCCAGTTTGACTAGATGGACAATCTGAACCATCATCCACCTTTTACTTCTTGTTCCCTGCCCACCTTCCCAGCCCATTTCTGCACATGATAAATGGCATGGATCACAGCAGAGCTGCCCAGACCTCCTGACTTGCCCACAAAACAGCTTGATTGCTGCTTTAATGCATTTGCTTTCCTTTAAGTGAGTCATTAATGCACAAGAGGACCTTTGCTGACAGCCTTGGTTCTCTAAGAACATCTTCTAGGGGATCTTAGCAGAGGCCTTTGTGTAAGAGCAGCTGGACCAAGGATGAGCTGCATTTTCATAGCATTCTGCCAGTTGATGTGGAAACCTTGGCTTTGCAGTCAGAGAGACTCACACAATGGTCATGGCCCTTTTCACAGCATTTTCACCCACCACTGTTTGACCTCAGCTGGGTATCACCACTGCCTTTCCCAAAAGCAGCTGCCTGCTCCAGAGAAGCTTCCTAGATGTAGGGTCATGATTTACCCTGAGAAAACCCCTTGCAGTCCCTCCCCAGCTGTTTGCTTTCATCCATTTGCTTTCTAGTCTGAGTCACCATTCCTGGCTGTCTGTGGGTACTTTATTAGCATTGAGTGCTCCGGGTTTTCAGTTCCAGGAGGCCAGAGGCACCTCCCTGCTGAGCCCAGGGCAGCCTGCTGAGGTGACTGCCTTCCAGGCACTTCCCAAGGGCTGGCATTCCTGCTGCTCCCCCTTTCCTGAAGGATGCCCGTCACTTCCAGCCACCTCTGCTCTGCCCTGGGGCTGTGCCATGGTTTACAATTTGTGATTCTTTCTCAGAGCTGTTGGAGCTCAGGGCACGGTCCCCAGGTCATAAATGGTCTTTAGCTGTCACAGCCACCCCTTGCAGTTTCTGGTTGATGAGGTTCCTCTTTTCTGCTGTGTTTCCCCTGGAAGGATGTTCAGTGGGACTGAGGTGCACTTCTCTGCCTCTTTCCCTCCAGCCAGTTCCATTCAAGTACTTCTTGCAGCTCACTTGGGGTTTTTTGGCCTTCTGGCTTTTTTACAGAAGAATTTATATTTATATGTTTGTTCTCAGGCTGTTTCAATGTGCTTTATTTATTTGGGGGCATGTCTGCACAGCCCACTCTTCATTTTTTTCCTGTCTTCATGTTATATTGACTTTGTGCCTACAGCATGACCTACCCACAGCTGTGCTCTTCCACACATGGTGGCCTTTCCCACTCTCTGGGATCAAAATTATCCTGTGTTTTTCACTGCAAGTCCCAAATCCTGGTTATCTTCCAGCTTAAACAGAGGCTGGTGGAGCTGTCATCATATCCAGCTGCTTTCTCAGCTCCTCTTATGCTGAGACCTTTCTGTGTGCCAGCCACCTGCTGAGGTTTGCTTCCTTGAGGACACCAGGGAAATGCTCTTCACCATCCAGGTAACCCATTTGAAATGTGCCTTCAGAAAAGCTTATTTTTTACTTATTTTCTTTTATGTGTCACAGCTGAAGCTCTCAGCACGGTCCCCAGGCCACTGCCTGCCTTTCTCCATTACAGCCACAGCTTGCTGTTCCTTGCTGACAAACTTCCTCTGCTTCCCACAGCTCCCCTTTGGGGATGTTAACACGACTGATGGATTTCCCCATCTCTGAAAAGGGACTTTTTCAGTGCCAGTGAAGGCACTTGTGAAAAACGCCAATCACTTGTTTTTAAATTTTTAAAAATTTAACAGTAATAAAAGGGTTATAAAAATAGTGATATAATTAGAGTAATAATAATTTGGACAATTTGAATTAGGGCAATATGAGACAATAAATACAAAGAGTTATGGACAGTCTTGGGTGCCTTTTTCTGGGCAGCACAAGCCAGAAAAAGGACCCACATTAACAGAGGATTAACCATTAAAAGCAACAGCCTGTTGCATATTCATACACCTCAAACATGATGCATAAATTCCATTCAAACACAGGATTCTGTCTGGTCAGTGTCAGCTTCTTCCTCAGAATCCTAGCAGTGCCTTTAAGGCAGGAAGAAGTTAATTTCTTCTGATAATGGAGCAATAAATTCTTTTTCTCTGAAAGATTTGGGTGTCCTGTGGCTGCTATCTCACTGCAAGTCTTCTTTAAAAAAAGTATCTTACATAGCACAGTTTCTATTTTAACATTTTTTTATAACCTAAAGCTATATTTAACACACTACTTAAGAGAATTAATACAGCCTTACATTCTAACACAACACATATAATATTCATTTTAATATTTACAAAAAGCCAATCATAAAATATGCATTTTTCACAGCACTGAAAGTGCAGGTTTCATGGGCTAAGCTGAAGATGCTTCTCCACCCAGGTCTGGAGCTGGCAGCAGCCAGAGAGCAGTTGGGAACCCTGGTGTACCCCCTCTGGTTCCCTTCCATTTTATCCATGATACAGATGCATCCACACACCAACTCTGGCACCCCAGCTCCAGCATCGTGTTCTAGAGAAGCACACAAATATCTGTTCTTGCTCTGGCTCCTGATTTTTATGTGCCTTGTCAAAGCAGCTCTTTACTGCTTCCCACACAAATGTTGTCACCTCCTGTCCTAGTCTCCAGTGGAGACTCAGGGGTTTTATGATTCCAGCTCATGGATGAATCATCTTGTCTTTAGCCCCATTGCTTGGTAGGTTCCTCCAGCAGCCCTCTCTCACCTCTGTCATGTGGATACCTCTGTGGTGTCCCCCTCCCTAGGTGCCTGCATGGACAGAGGCCCTTTGCTCCTCCTGCATCCTGCAGGAGACTGCTGGGATAGGGAGAGCCAGTGCTTCTGTGTCCTGGGGGAAAGAAGATTTCTGCAGTGTCAGCTTGCCCTCTTGTGCCTCTCGCTGCTCTCCACTCGAGTTGCAAGGTCTCCTTTCATTTTTGGAGGCAAGTTGCTTTGGCTGCTTTGTTTCCCTGCTCTTCCAGCCCTTCTGGGATTGCTGTTTATTCCTGGGTTAGGAGAATGCTCCCACAGCCAAACTCCTTACCTTGCTGCACCTGTCTAACCCAGAGCTCTGCTCCCTCCACCTGCCTGCATCAACCAGTCCACACCCACTGTGGGACACCTGAGCTAAGCCTGGATGCTGGTCCAGTGTCTCCATTTCCCAAGGACACCACAGGTTAGATTTATATGTTCCTGGTGGCAATGCCCCAGGGGATTACATCCAACAGGGACCTACAGCTGTTCTGTCAGCAGCTGGATGCAAGGAGGGCTGCACCTCCCCTGGCACTCTGTCACTTGCACTTAGGTCTATATCTGGTTTTGCTCATAGCCCATCTCCACAGATCTTAGAGCTTCCCCGTTTTCCAACATACATGTATCTACAATGAGCATTTCAAAGCCAGAGAGGAAATACACTGAGAAACCTTCCCTGTGTAGCTAACACCTGAATCACTTAGAAGAAAGTTTGGAGTTAAATGCAAAAAGCTGCTCAGGCTAATAGAAGAGCAGTTGCAGAGAAGTATGTCCACCATGTCATGGAAACCTTTTGCCTTCCCTGGCCTGCTTTGCTTCCCTAGACCACCTGTACCAGAGCCGGGCGAGGCTGGGGCTCTCCAGGACCCTGCAGACCGGCACAGCTGGTGTCAGCCCATGCTTCCCCTGCCTTCTCCCCCCAGCAAGGAGCGGTCGCGGCCCCAGTCCCTCCCGGAGGGCTGACATCCTTGCCAGGCCAGGCCTCCCGCTCCTTCGCCCGGGGCCTTTGCCGGGCTGCGGCCCTGCGGGGTCCGGCTCTGCCCGGGGCTGGAGGCGGATGGGGATGCAGGCGGTGGCCCCGGGGCGGCAGCGGCAGCGAGCCCGGCCGGGGTGCCCGGAGCCGGCGGAGCGGCGGGCGGCGCCGGGCCCGGGGGTGAGGCGGGGGCCGCCGCAGTCCCCGCCCGCCGCCCGCCGGGAGGGGCCGAGCGCCGCCGCCGCCGCAGAACCGCCGCTGCCGCTGCCGCCGGGCCGCGCCGGGCGATGCCGCGCCGGGCCCGGGGCCGCCGCCGCCGCCCTGAGCCCCGGGGAGCCGCCCGAGGTAAGCGGGAGCCGGGGGGGCGGCAGGCCGGGCCCCGCGGCCGGAGGGCAGCGCCCGCCCCCGACAGGCCCGGCCGCTGTGGGCAGGGGGCTCGGGGCACGGAGCTCGGCGGGGCGGCCCCGCTCTTGCGGGCCTGGGGCTGAGCCCCGTGCTGGGCCGGGGCCCGGGGTACCCCCAGCCCCCGCGGAGGCTCGGGCAGGCCGTGGGGTGAACCCCCGCCGGGCGTGTGGCATGCTCCAGATGTGCCACATCCACGGGCTCCCCCGTGCCCGCCGCCTGTGCTGCCTCCCCCTGAGAGGCACCTGTGTCTGACAGGTTCAGGCTTCGCTGCCTCCCGCAACGTGCCAGGATGCTGCTGGGCCCAGGGATGCACGACTGCGCCGGACGCCTGCTCCCTCAAAAGCCAAAAAGCAGGAGTTCAGGTAGCTTGTGCCCAGCGCCCTGTGCCATCAGTGTCAGGCCGTGTGCGGGGCTGACCATGAACCGTGCGGCCTCCATCCTACTCGGTGCTCAGGTGCCACCTGCACGCTGCCCCCTGGATGAGCAGGATGGTGTCCCGGGCGTGCACAGCCCAGGCGTGGCAGAGGCGGGCTCGGCGTGGGCAGCGCTGTGCCACACAGTCATCAGCCCAGCTCCATCCTCCATTTCATCCGGGGGGCTGGCTCCCCTCCAGAGCAGCTGCCAAGTTTTTCTCTGCCTGGTGAGGCCCCAGCTCTGTCCTCCCTCCTTGCCTCTGAAGGCAGCTGCCTGCAGCTGTGCTCGGTCAGGGGAGGGTCTGACAGCCCTGGTGCCGCACAAGGCAGGCAGGGAGCTTTTGGGGACAGTGCTTTGCTCTGCCCCAGCCCAGGAAAGCTGAGCATCCCACAGAAATTCAGGGCCTGTTGCAGAGCTCCTTGTGTGCTGGAGCTTTGGGCTCATGGTGCTGTTCCTTGCTTTATGGTGTTGGGGCAGGGTGGGCATTGGCAAATAGCTCTGGGCAAAGCTCTCAGGGGGTGTGAACCTGAAGGAAACTGAATATCTGGCCAATTTTTCCCTCCCACCCCACAAGACAGCCAGGCTAAAAAAACCCAGGCTTCATCTTGTGCTGTGCATAAAAATAAAGAGACTAAAAAAAGCAGTCCTGGATCATAGCATTTAAGGGCCTGCTTGGGTTAAACATGTAAGTCTAGTCTTAGCTTGCCTTGTGGGGGGAAAATAAAAGCAGGGAAATCCCATGGAAAATAAGGCATGTACATGGTGGCAGAGGCCAGTCAGTGTGATGAGCTACCAGAAAAGGCAGTGGGATTCCAAGTGCTTGATGCATCCCAAGTGTCCAGCCTGCCCCACCATGTGCTTCCTAGGAGCTGGCTTTCAGCCAGCACATGCCACCAGGATGGCCTGGCGGGTCTCGGGAGCTCTTTGGCTAGAAACCTGCAGGTTTGGAACAAGCCAGGCACATAGGATGGGAGAAATCTATGAATGGCTCCCTCCCTTCTTTCAGCCACTCACAGCTGTTGAGGAGAGGGTGGCAGAAGGGGGCCCAAGGGTGGGACTAGGAAATCTCAGCAACTTCCTGATGACCCTGCCTGTTCCTCTGTGCAGGATGGTTCCCCCACCACCTGTCAGCAAGCCCCATGTGTGCCTCTCCACAGTGCTCATCATGACCAGCCTCGTCCTCATGGATGCCTACCTGGTGGAGCAGAGCCAGGGCTCCAGGAAGCTGGGCATCTGTGTCATGGTGGCAGTGGGTGACATTTGCTTCCTGCTGGTGCTCCGCTACGTGGCTATCTGGGTTGGGGCAGAGGTAAAGACAGCCAAGCGAGGATACGCCATGATCCTCTGGTTCCTCTACGTCTTCGTTCTGGAGATCAAAGTCTACTTTGTATACCAGAATTACAAAGCTGACCGGAAAAGCTTGGATCTCATCGCCCGCAAAGCGCTGACCTTGCTGCTCTCCATCTGCATCCCAGCTCTCTACGTGCTCCTGGTGGCCACAGAGCACATGGAGTACGTCAGAACGTTCAAGAAGAAGGAGGATCTCCGCAACCGCCTCTTCTGGGTCATTGTGGACATGCTGGATGTGCTGGACATCCAGGCCAACCTGTGGGAGCCCCAGAAGAAAGGGCTGCCCCTCTGGGCTGAGGGCATCATGTTCTTCTACTGCTACATCCTGCTCCTGGTCCTGCCCTGCGTGTCCCTGTGCGAGATCAGCATGCAGGGCATCGGCATCGTGCCGCACCGCATGATGCTCTACCCCATGCTCAGCATGCTCACCGTCAACATCGCCACCATCTTCATCCGAGGCAGCAACATGGTCTTCTTCAGGGATGCCCGGGTCTCCAGCATCTTCATGGGCAAGAACATGCTGGCCATTGGCATGAAGGTCTGCATGTTCGTGCAGTACCAGCGGCACCAGCACCACGCGCCCCCGGGGCCGGACGCGCAGCCCAGCACCCCGGCCCAGCCGCCCTCGGGGCTGCGCAAGGCCCGGGACCAGCCTGCCTGCCCCGAGGAGCTGGCCCGGGACAACACGTGACAGGGCAGCAGGAGCTACAGCCTGGCCATCCCCACGCCTGGCTGGAGCCACAGGCCCGGGGCAGGCTGTGGAGCTCCCTGCCTGGACAGAGGGGAACCACCCTGCTCCCTCCTTCCCTGGGTGAAACCGCTCAGGGCCCCAAGGGGCGCATGGCGAGGGCCCCCACAGCAGCCTCTGCAAGGCTGCAGGGCAGTTTGGAAGCTCAGCACCCTCTGCAAGGCTGCAGGGCAGTTTGGAACCCCAGCACCCTCTGCAAGGCTGCAGGGCAGTTTGGAACCTCAGCAGCCTCTGCAAGGCTGCAGGGCAGTTTGGAACCCCAGCACCCTCTGCAAGGCTGCAGGGCAGTTTGGAAGCTCAGCAGCCCACCTGGTAAAACAGCAGAGCAGGGGATGAGGCCAGGACTGCCTGCCATGAGGTGTGTCTGGATGAGGCCAGGCAGCCCCACCCGGTGCCAGGCTCCCTGTGCAGCACTGCTCTCTGGCTGCTGCATGGGGACACAGCGGGTCACCCACTTTTCTGTTGTGGTTGGCCCTGGCTCCAGTGTGGTCCTTGGCAGCAGCCTGCTCCCCACTGTGTGAGCTGAGGTCCCCATGCAGGGGGAGCAAGGCCTGGGCCTCCCTCTGTTGTCACCCCTCTCAGCCAGCTGCAGGCTTGGGGGGACCCAAAAAGGGGTGACTGTCCTTTTTTTGTATCTCCCTCTTTGCAATAAAAGACCTGAGCCCTGCAGCCTTTTCCTGTCTGTGTCCCTGCCAGCAGGCAATCTCCCCCCTCTTCTGGGAGCCTTGTGTGACTGGGTGTCTGCAGAGCATGTGGAGAGGGGCAGGAGGGGAAAGCAGGACCACTTTGGGGGTGCACCTGCTGCAGCAGACCTACAAGCAGCAGGGGATGGGGACACAGGGACTCAGAAATGCTGAGGAGGGACCCCTCAGTGAGACCCTGGCAGCAGGTCACTTGCCAAGCTGGCACATCCCATGGCTACTGCCTTCCCCCAGTTCCACTAAGTCCCCTCACCAGAGCAGAACTTGCATCACCCACAGGAATTAGAGTGGAGGTAAGTGGTTCAGCAACACCCTCAGGCTGGCTGACCTGCTCCTTGCTCCATGTTTGCTCCCAGCAAGGCTGTCCCCAGCCCCCAAACACCCATGGCCACCCACAGAGCACAGCTGTGCCCAGGCACTGTCCCAGCACACTCTGACCTCTCACACTAGGGTTACCTGAGCCATCCCCTTGTCAGCTCAGCCATGGCAGACAGGGGAAAAAAGGAACAAGGAGAAGCAAGAGGGCTGGTGGGATATTGGAGAGAGGCACTGACTCCCCTGAGGTCAAACACTTTTGACTGGAACAGACTGACAGTGGGAATAAAGTAAAAACAGGTTCCTGGATGAGAGAACAAGAAGTTCCATCTTGAGAACCTGAAGCAGTAGAGCAGAGGCCAAGAGACGTGAAGGCATCTGTCCTTGGACATTACCAGATCCCACCAAAGCAGCCCTGAGCAACCTGATCTGAAGTCAGGGTTGCTGCTCTGAGCAGGGATTGTCCCACATCCTTTTCTGCCTCAGTGGAAGTCTGAGAGAACCTGGAGTAGAGCCAGCAGCGCAGGGCAGGACTCAGACTTTCCTTGCTGGAGCTGGAAATGAGCAGGTGCAAGGGCAAAGACAGCTGTCATCACCATCAGCATCTGCATGACACACTTGTCACCACCCAGGCATGATCTACACCACAAGCAAAGCAGATACTTCAGCTATGAAAAGAAAGTAGTTCCTTCAGTTCTGCCCCTGCTCTGCTGCCTTACAGCATCACTGCACTCTGGAAGGCAGGTCCTGGGAAGAGGGATACCCATCCTCCAGGCCTGGCCAAGGCAGAATGAGCCAGTGCCAGACAACAGCACGACTGTCCAACAGTCACTAGTTCTTCTGTGAGGGCAGATGGCGCTTGTCTTTGATGGCATTCCTCTTCCTCTTCTTGTTCAGGAAGCTCTCCAGCTTTCCACTCCTCTTCAGCTCTGCATACTTCTCAGCCAGCTCCAATTTCTTCTTCTCAGCTGCAGAGGAGAAGGAAATCGACTTTTAAACTGAAGCCCCAGAACATCTCTACAGAGCAGCCCCTTCCCACCTCTCCCTCCCTGGTCCAGGCTTAGCTTCTCCCTTGAGCAGCAGCACTGGAACAATTCCCCCACAGCTGTGTGGGATGGTATGGACACCTTGCTCCCAGAGCTTGAATTCCTGCCAGCAGTTCTCCCTCTAGATCCCCCTGCAGCATGCTCACTCTGAGTACTTACATTTCTTTAGGAAGAAAGGTTTCTTTCCCTGCTTGGCCAATTCCCTCTGTTGTCTTTTCAAAGAGAGCTCCCTCTCTCTCAGCTTCTGCTGTTTTTTCTGTGCCTGTTCCTGCTGTGTCTGTACAAGAAGGATGGCCTGTGTCAGCACTGAGGCAGAGCTCAGGTGACACATCCTCTCTGCCAGTGCCCCCAGAGAGGAGCTGCTCACTGAACTCACCATACGGTTCAGGAGCCGCTGGAGTTTCTCCTTCTGCTCCACGTTCCGGCATTTCTTCAGCTGCTTCTGAACCATCTGAAGAAGAAGAAGAGAGCAGAAAGCTGCATCACTGCCTGCCTGTCCCCTCCCCTGTGAAAAGCCTTTGAAGTAGCCCCTGCCAAGCAAGGATCTTCCAGGCAAGGACAGGCACAGAGCATCACCTCCTTCTCCTGCTTCTTGATGCTGTCCAGGAAGCTGTAGGTCTTCATAAATATGTCAGGCTTGTACTCTCCAGACAGGTCATCAAATCGAGGGTCTCTCTGGACCTGTCAGCAGGGAAGGCAAGAGCTGTAGCCAGTGTTACCCTGTTAACAGCCTGCTGACTCTCCCTTCACGGATTAGCCAATTTTTTTCCCCAGCAATGTGATGCTCCCACCACTGAAATATCTGAAGTTGGCATAGATTGAGTACAATGGTCAAGGTGGCATCCCCAAAGTCATGCCTGCATCAAGTTCATCATGCAACAGACATCTCCATGTGCCAGTCTGCCACCCAGGAATAGCCAAGAATAACAGCAGGAGTGCTGCTGTCAAACACCTGCAACTCCCAGACCAAGAGCTGGCTAAATGTGTGTTGTCAAGGTGATGGATTTGGGAACTCATACCTATCCAGATTTTCACAGATTAACTGGGTCAGGCCATGCAAAAAGGGTGGGACAAAGAGGTCTCTAACTGTGGAAATTACCATATTCCAACGATCCAGCAATGATAAGTCAAAAGTAAGATTCAGATTGGAAAGTAGATGGACATCTGAACTTCTGGGATTAGAACAATGACCATGGTTTGCAGTGGAACTGTCACTGGTGGCTGTCATTGCACCTTCTAGAAACATCTGGGTCACAAACTCTCAACCTGCAGCAGCTCCAACCCACCCATTGTTCTCCCCAGGGAAACACTGTCACTGCCTGCACTCCCCATGGCACAGCCCTGTCCTCCAGAAGCAGCCAGTGCCACCTGCAGCAGCCCCATTCCCAGTGTGTGCCAAGTGGTTCTCCCCATGGAAACACTGTCACTGCCTGCACTCCCCATGGTCCAGCCCTGTCCTCCAGAAGCAGCCAGTGCCACCTGCAGCAGCCCCATTCCAAGTGTGTGCCCTGTCAGCAGCACTAAGGCAAGCCCTGAGCTGGGGAGGGGCAGCACCCACCTTCTTCCTAACAGGGACCACTTGTCTCAGGAAAGGTACAGGCTTCTTGGCTGACATCTCCAGTGGCCTGAAAACAAGAAAAAATGGATTTAAGAGGAGCAAATGCCAGAATGAGGCCCAAGCTAATATGCTGGGAGGTCATCTGGACCCTCAGAAAAACATTACTGCACAAGAGATTCTCCCAGCTCAATCCTTACCATGATATAGAAAGCAAAGAGGTGGCTCAGTCAAAAGCCACAGAAGGTTACAACAACCAAATATATCAAAATGTGGTTAAAACAACCCTACCAAGAACCTGGAACAGCTCCTCTGTATCAAGTGAAAAACCACCACCTGCATCAATAAATGTGTAGTACTGATTATTCCTCTCATGAAGTCACAGAATGGCTGGGGGTGGAAGGAACCTTTCCTAAAGCAGAGTCACCTACAGCAGATTGCACAGGATTGCATCCAGGTGGGTTTTAAATAAATCCAGAGAAGGAGACTCCACAACCTCACTGAGCACTTCTTTCAGTGCTCAGTCACCCTCAGAGTGAGGAAGCTTTTCCTCATATTCAGGTGAAATTCCCTGTGTTTCTGTATTGCCCTTTGTCCTGTCACTGGATGCCACAGAAAAGAGCCTGGCCCCATCCTCTTGACACCTGCCCTTTACATATTTCTAGTGATAAGGTCCCCTCTCATCATCTCTTCTCCAGGCTAAACAGTCTCAGCTACCTCAACCTGTTGTCACAGGAGAGATGCTCCAGTTCCCTAATGTTTTTTTGGGGTTTTTTTGCCCTCTAGTGGATTCATCCTCTCCAGGAGCTCCACATCTCTCCTGTCCTGAGGATCCCAGAACTGGGCACAGCACTCCAGACTGGCCTCCCCAGGGCTGAGCAGAGGGGCAGGATGCCCTCCCTGCCCTGCTGGCACTGCAGCTCCTGATGCAGCCCAGGATCCTGTTGGCCTTCTTGTCCCCCAGGGCAGGGCTGGCCCAAGGACAGCTCATTGTCCACCAGGACCCCCAGGTCCTTCTCTGCAGGAGCCTGCCCTTACTATTGCTGAATTCCAGGAGCTTCTTTGTGCCCAGCCTGCCCAGGTCTCATGGAATGGCACCACAGCCCTCTGTGGAGCAGCTACTCCTCCCATGTTTCTGCTGACAGCAGACTTGCTAAGGGACACCTGCTGAGAGCACCCACAGCCAGCCACAACCCCACAGGCACAGGTTTTCCAAATCCCTCTCAGGGCAGTGCTCCGTGTATTCCCACATCCTCTGAGGCTACAACCCTGCACAATGCTCTGGAGTCACTGCTGAAAGAGCTCAGTGCCAGGGAATTCCCTGAAGCCCTTTCTTTGAGAAGCTCACTTCCATAACAAAAACATGAGAGAAAAAGCATGTGGGATTTCCAGCAATACATTACTTAAAGGATTAGAGGAATTAAACAAAAGCAGAATTATGCAAACTGTGTGGCAGAAATAGAGACACTGAGAGATGATGTTGCACTACACAAAATCCCCCAGAGTCCTGGGTAAAAAGTAAAGCAGAAGCATTATCCTAACCAACTCTTTATGGCAGGAGAAATGTATTTTGTGTTCTCTGCTTTGTGCAGGAGAAAGGTATTTTGTGTTCTCTGCTTGTGCATTGAGCAGAGGTTCAGAAATAAGATAGGGAGTGCCAGTGTAAGAGAGGAAACCCATTCAAACCACCTGGGTGCCACTCTGAGGATTGAAAACTACCTAATTACTGCAAATAAGGGGTAAGGGTATTGCTGTTAGCAGTGGGGGCCTGGGGAGAACTGTAAAAAGGTAAGATAGCTTTTGTTGTGATGAATACAGGGAAAAGTCTGTGATGGCAAGTGCTGTAGAGAGGGAATAAAGGAAAATGAACATGGAAAAGCCACAGATGAGACAGCCACAGAAGGATAAATGGAATTGCAGAACAATTGTCTGTGACTGTAAGTCCAGGCAGTGAGAGCCAGGCAGGAGATACTGATAAGCTGGAAGGGGTTTAGGAACCAGCAGGGCAATGATTTCAGGTCACAGTGGACACTGTCACAGAGCTTGAGAGGCACACCATGCCAAGGGTTACAAGTGCCTTAATTTAGAGGGTATAAAGGCAGTGAGTGCCAGTTTAACTGTCAGGTGGCTGCTGGGGATTTGAAGAGGACCGGATATTAAGAGCTCCGAAAACAGCACCAGACCATTCCCAAATGAAATATAGTGACAGGCATTATTGTCCAGTACATTAAAGGAGATCTATGCCAGCTCCAAGGCAACACCACTGCTGTGAGGAGCTCCCAGTGTAATTTCTGGGATGCAGAGAGCGCACACACACGTTTTTCTGATCACAAAAGAGCCTCTTTACCCCTTTTTGCCTTGTTGCTGCTTCAGTGTAGCTTTGGCAGGCTTTGCAGTTTTCTTCCCACCAGGCACCTTCCTGCTCACTCTGGTCCTGGCATCACTCTGCACCCGCAGGAGCTCCTCAAAAGACATGTCAGACTGACCTGGAAGAGAGCACAGGGCACACCTGAGCTGAACAGCTCCTCAAGGCACTTCTCACCCCCAGACTCCACCAAGAGGGATGCCTCAGAGCTTGGGACAGTGACACAAGCATAGTGGTGCCATCCCTGTACAACTGCACAGCAGGGAGAAACCCCTGCATCTCTCAGCCTCTGGTTCCTCTGCCACTGATCACTTCAGTCCCCACCACCAGAACAGAGCAGCCTCCCCTCTCCCCAGAGTGTCTTTGCTTCTTTCTCCACTCAACAGCACACACAAGACCAGTACAAAGTGTTTGCCTGGCACAAAGAGCAGTGCAAGCTCTACACTGGGCACTGTGAATTCTGAGGGGGCACCTCTCAGTCCTGACTTTCCTATTTTAATGTTTCTTTAATATCCCTTAATATCAGTAACCTTTAATGCTTCTTATAACCAGAATGCAAAAATATTATCATACTATTCTTTATTCTAGATTTATACTTCTAGGTGCTCAGAACCAACAACTGAAAGCATTTCTTCAGTCAGCACTTGGATATGCTCATTCCACTCGGGGTTTGCACTGTGTCCCTTCTGGAAGGGAAAGCTGTGACCGTGTTCACAGGGGTTTTTGGGCTGGGGAAGAGACGAGGATCTGACTCCATGTTTCAGAAGGTTGGATTTATTATTTTATGATATATATTACATTAAAACTATACTAAAAGAATAGAAGAAAGGATTTCATCAGAAGGCCAGCTAAGAATAGAATAGCAAAGAATGATAACAAAGGCTTGTGGCTTGGCTCTTTATCCGAGCCAGCTGGGCTGTGATTGGCCATTAATTAGAAACAACCACATGAGAGCAATCACAGATGCACCTGTTGCATTCCACAGCAGCAGATAATCAATGTTTACATTTTGTTCCTGAGGCCTCTCAATTTCTCAGGAGAAAAAATCCTAAGGAAAGGATTTTCCATGAAAGATCCTATGGAAAGATCCTTTCTGCGACAGAAAGCCTTGGCAAACTGACTGAGGTGGTGTTTGCCTGCTCAGCACCCCTGAGCAGTGACAGGCACACGGTCTTTCTGAGCCTTTGCAATACAAAACACACCAAGTGTGGCCCAACAGGGACCATCACAGCCTGTCTGATACCTTGGCTGGATACCAGGTGCCCCACAAGCTGCTCTTGTAGCCCACTCACTCCCAAACCCTTCCCACACAAACACAAAACCCTGTCCCACGAGCGAGGTTTGTGTGCACTCTGCCAAATCCAGGAAGGAACATGAGGTCAGTCAGTCACACTGGCTCAGAGCATGGACTCATCCCAAGCACTCTCATCCTGGCAATAACCAGGACCTTCAGAAACAACTCTCATCATCCAGAAAACATCATGGGCACAGCCAAGAGCTGCCTCAGTAAATGTTTTCATTTTGCTTGCTCCAAACGCTCAGGAACTCTGCTCTGATGATACTCATTAGTGCTCTGAGGTGGGGTCCAGGAGCAGGGACTATCCAGTCTGCTGCACAAGGGACAAAGGAAATGTGAATACAGCGTGATTTCATTCCCCTAAACACCCACCCCATCCAAATCCTGAACAAGGACAGCCAAAAGGACAAATAAAGCATTAAAAGAAAGGAATTATGATGTGGAAGATACTCTCAGCACTTGATGAAGACAAGGCACCATCACTTGCACTCCAATATTCCACTTGGCTGAAATTCCAAAACAATGCTGTTTACACAGCAAAGACTTCAATGAAAATGAGATAAAGACACCATGTAAAATGATGCCAAAAGGAGATCTGGTATAAATCAGACAAAGCAAAGACATGCAGAGTTTCCATGATAAAGTATTTCATCACTGGTACAGGAGACCAAACCTGACTACCTAAAACCTGATAGGGAAAATTATTTCTACATGGTACTATCAGTCCACAAGACACATCCTACTGCCTGTTTCTAGGAGATTGAATTAACCACTCACAGGGATAAAAACATCACTATAAAGAAAAGAAGCCTGTTGTGGAGCAGAAGTGAATGGTCCCAGCAGGCATTCACTGCTGGGCAGCAGATTTGGCAACTGTGTGTGTGAAAAGGTTTTGGTTAAAAAGGCAGGATTACCTTATTTTCCTTGTTCCTTGCATTCTTGCTTGAGGACTTAATTTCCCAATTTTTTCATTCCTTTTGTCCCCTTAGTATATAACTTACCTGTTCTCTGCTGTCTCTGTTCTCCATTTAATTTTCCCTCCTGCCACTTTTCCCCTTCATCCATTATTTTGTGGATTGTTTCCTTCTTTTTGCACCTCTTGATAAGCTACTGTTACCTGCAGATAACAGGGGCATTTCCTGCTCTCAAGCACAGCCTCCTGTGTTTCCTCTCCTCCCACAGACTCCTGTGGCACATGGACACCTTATGCCTTCCTCAGCTGAACCTGCAGGGAGCTATACAACCTGCAGAGCACACAGATGGGCTGAAGAAATGCCTGATGTGTGCCCAGTCCTTCCCTGCTAAGACAGAATCGGGGCTGGACTCCAACAGAACTCCTCCTGCTCCAGAAACAAGATCACAGAGTGCCCTGACAGATGGCAAAAGCAAAGCTGCTGTTCCCATTCCCATCCAGCTGTGGGAAGGACAGAGTGCCTGCCAGTGATCCTCTCTCTGAGCTTTACTCACCAGAGGAAAACAAAATGCCTACAACAGATGGTGAGGCACCTTGCCCACCTCTGAACCCCACTGCCAAAACCTCACCTGCAGAGATGTGCCTCCCCCACAGACACACCCTGGAGACCTTTCACAAGGAATCAGTGACTCCTCACACTGTGACACGCTGTGCTGTGCCCTGCAGCTAACACCAATGCCCACTCCCTCACGATTCCCTTCAAGGGCTTTTGCTGTATTTTTTGTAAGGTTTTCATTCTCACTGGGATCGTTCTGAGACAGGGAAACCAAACTGTGTTTGCTGCAGTGGATGAGAGCCCCCATGCCGGCCCTCAGCCCACACAGCCGGGCATCGCCTGCTCCTTCCCCTCTGCTGTGCTGCCAGGGCCTCTCCAGCTCCTGCACACCTGAACTGGCACACAGATTGTCCCCGAGACGTGTGACATCTCCCACAGCAACCCAGCCTCGAGCCAGATGAGGGTGGAGTTAAATGGGTGAGCTTTAAGACCCCTTCCAAGCAAATCAATTTATGGTTCTGTGATTTTCCGCACCGGGGACAAGCGGCCCCTACACGAGTTTGTTCCAGGGACCTCTCACCCAACCCTGCTGCTGATCCTGAGCTGCTCAGCTGGGCAGGAGCTGGGATACGATACCGCACCGAGCTCTTCGGCAGCTCCTTTCCCACTAAACCGAGCCGAGGCTGCCGCCTTTCCCGAGTCGCTCCCACCGGTTCCCCTCACCTTTCCCGCCAGCCCCCGCCACGCTCCCGCCGTCGTCGCTCTCGTCGCTGGAGCCAGAGCTCTCCTCCGCCGGCTCCAGCCTCCTCCCGAGCGCCTGCTCCGCGGCCGCCTCTTCCTCACTGTCTGTGGCGACGCCGGAGGCGGCTCGTCCTCGTCCCCGTCCCCGTCCCCATGCCGGTCCCTCACGGCGCGGCCCCATCGCCCCCGGAACGGCCCGCGCGGCACCGGCGGAACCGGAAGCGGAGCAGAGGCGGTCACGTGGGGGAGCGCTGTTTTTATTGTCTTTTTTTTTTTTCCCTTTTTTTTTTTTTTTAAGCAAAAAATCCTTTCTTTCTGACGAACGGGTTATGTACACAAAGGCCCTGGCAATACCCAACTAAGTAGTCAGTAAGTGTTTTTAAGTGCAAGATCTTTGCGCTGCTGGACTGAGCCGTCCTGGTGGCGGGTTTATCGCAGGCCGGACTAAGTTTCTAATGCGAGCGCCAAGTTTAAACGAAGGTTTGCCATGGCCTCCAGCTGGATCACCTGCAGCTGTCAGAAGCGACCAGCAGGCTGAAATGTGGTTACACACAGCGGCCTGCATTAGGGCAGGTACAGCCAGCACACCAAGGGGTGTCAGCACCTCTGAGCACTCCACGCCTGTGGGAGCACACTTGGAATGTCGCACCCTATTTTCTGCTCGAAGGGAAGCCGAAGGAACTGGGCAGGAGGGTGCAGCAGAGAGTTCCCAAGGCAGACAGAGGCATCGTCCTCGGCTTCCTCGGGACGGGGCCAGCGGCAGGGCACGGCGGCGGGCGGCGAGAGGCTGTCGGCTAGGGCGCGGAGCTGCTCGGCCAGCCGGGCCACATCGCGGCCCGCGGGCGGCGCGGCGGCGCGGGGCTGCCGGGAGCGCAGGTGGGCGGCCTCCTCCTCCCTGCGGGGACACGGGGTAAGCGACAGCCTGGGGACCCTGGCTGAGCGCCAGGTGCACGTGATGCAGCACCACCCCCCGGGATCCCGCTCACCTGAGGCAGCTGCAGGTGATGCAGAACCACCCCCCAAATCCCGCTCACCTGAGGCAGCGGCAGCTGCAGGTGATGCAGCCCCACCTCCCCAAATCCCGCTCACCTGAGGCAGCGGCAGCTGCAGGTGATGCAGCCCCGCCTCCCCAAATCCCGCTCACCTGAGGCAGCGGCAGGTGCAGGTGATGCAGAACCACCCCCCGGGATCCCGCTCACCTGAGGCAGCGGCAGGTGCAGGTGATGCAGGCGCCGTCCCGCCGCGCCCACACTCGCAGCCAGCTCCAGGCGCGGTCCCTGCGCAGCACTCGCAGCACGGCGGTCCCCGCTGCCGGCCCGGTCCCGGCGCCCAGCGCTGCGGACAAGGGAAGGGGCTGCGTGAGCCGGCAGCAGGGCACGGCCCCAGGGTGCCGGGAGAGCCCCGCAGGCTGCCCCGGTGGGCTCTGCCGCCGGCCCCAGCAGGACAGAAGCAACACAGAGATGGGCCTCAGGTGGGCTTGTCCCTCTTCTGTATACCGTGGCAAAGCAGGATTGCCCACTCCCAGTTTGGAAACTACTTATAGACAGTGTATAGGGTGTGTAATCACTTCCCCGCTTCATCATTTTTGGAGCAGGGACTCACAACAGGGAGGGCTGAATTCACTTTGGCACTGCTGTCCTGGATAGCCACGTTTCAGGCATAACCAGACCATTGGGCCAGGGGACAGCACGCACGTTCCTGGGTGTGACACTCACCCAGGGCCCTGTGCTGGGCAGCTGCCAGCTCAGCATCCTCAGGGTGCAGGAGGCTGTACCACGACTGACCGACCAGCTCCTCCCGGTGGTAGCCGAGGTGGTAGGTGACACTGGCGAAGACAAGGGGAGTGGGGACTGAGTGCTGTACGGAGCCTGCATCCCATAGGCAGGCTTTGTGAAGAGAATTATTCTTGCTGCCTGACATGGACAGCTGGGGCTGTGTGCGAGCAGGCACCCCTCACCTCTCCGTGACATCAATAAACGTCATGTCCAGGAGATGCATGCTCTGGAATATGTCATCCTGGGAAGCAGCTTCGCCATCTGTGGGTGACTGCACAAGGGGTGTACAGAGAGCCAGGAAGGCTGTGCTGGAGGGGGAGGGTGGCCAGTGCAGGGCCACAAAGCGCCCGCACACTGCCACCACCCGATTGCCCCCGTGCTGCAGCCGGAAGGCCTTGGACGTGCGCATCTCGCTGACAAAAGTGACTTCTGCAGGGAAACGCACCGATCAGAGTGTCAGGAGCTGCCTCACTCTGCTCCCAGCAGGGCTGGCCCTGCTCTGGAATCACAGCCAAGGGCCAGAGCAGGATGGCAAGATCCATGAGATGCCAACTGAGGCCTCCCTTACCCCTGCCAGGCTCCTCCCGGGCAAGGAGGAGCTTCTTGTGCACATCCTCTCCCACTCGCCCATCCAGGATGTCAAAGAGCGTGTCCCCCTGGGCGAGCAGCTCCACCTGACAAACAGAGGGCTGCCCTCAGAGACTGTGCCTGTCTCAGTGGGCCCTGGCTGCCATCGTGGGTGCACAGCCTGCTGCAGCCACCGCCCAGCGTCTGCTGGGGAAGCGTGCCGTGCAGGCAATGAAAGCACCAGGATGGGTACGGGGACGGTGACTGCAAATGCCCAGTGAGCAGGCCTTACCACAGAGAGGCCCAGGACCTGAGCCACGTTCTCTGAGATGTAGACCAGCTTGCTGTCTGCTGAGAGCACGAGCAGAAACCCCGGGAGCAGGGAGAGTAGTTCTGTGCCGAGGGCCGGTCCTGTAGGAGGAGCCAAGCCTGCAGGGGGATGAGGGTGAAGAGTTGTCTTGGATGAGGCAGGGGCAGTGCCCCACACAGAGCCAAGGGAGTGTGGAGTGCAGCAGAGCTGAGGGTACCTGGAGGGAAGAGCTGAGCCCCCCGCAGGCGGAGGCACACTAGGGCCATGGTGTGCAGGTAGGAGAGCCGCTCCTTCTCCTGGGCAGAGATGGGCAGCAGGGAGCGCAGCGCCTGCAGCTCCGCATTGATCTGGTCTCGGCGAGCCTTGGAAGCGCTCTTGGTTGACCTGCAAAGCCAACCATCTGAGACATGTGTCCAGGGAGGGGAGGGGACAGCACTCCCTGCCTGTCATTGTGGGAAGAATTGCCAGCTCGGGGATGTGGAGTGGAGATGCTCAGCACCTGCGCCAGCTGCTGCCTCTAGGAGAGCAAACCTTGTGGGCACAGGCAGAGGTGCTCCAGCCTAGCCAGGGGCAGACGCTTCTGGTATGGCTGTGCCTCTCCTGCTGGGCACCAGGCTGGACAATGACCTGTGCCTTGGTGGGGAGCCCAAGTGACAACCTTCCCACAAGGATGGATAGTACATCCGGTGCTGGAACGTGCACCCCAGCCCAGTACAATCTGCCTTTCCTCCTAAACCACCTAAAATACCTCTGCCCTCCAAATTCCTGCACCTCCTCCTCATGCACTGGCTGGCAGTGCCGCTGTCCCAGGCTGGTGTCAGCACCTTGCAAGGGCCATCAGAGCCTGCACCAGCTATCCCGGGGTTCTGGGAGGCCATCCCGGCCCTGAGGGAGGGCAGGAGGTGGGAGAGAGCTCACCTGAAGGGCCTCGGGGCGCTGGGCGCCTGCTTGGCCCTGGCGGGCAGGCAGCTCATCTCTGCCTGCAGTGGCCGGTGGCAGTGGCTGCAGAAGATGGTCATGCTGCCGGGGCTGGGATGCCTGGGGCTGGCAGGGAACCGCGGGCAGGGAACCGCTGCCTCCTTCGCCTGCGGCTGTGGCTGAACCTGCTGACCCTGCTGCTCCCGGCCTCCTTTTGTAGCCTCCTGGGGTGCAGAGGCCAAGCCACTCAGGGGCGAGAATTACCTCTTGTGACGCAACTCCAAACAGCTCGGGGCTATTTTTAGAAGGCAGGCTGCTAAAAATAGCCCTTGCAAGCAGTTGAAATTTGAGAGGGGAAGTAATAAAAGGAAGCCAGGGTCTTGAAAGCAAACCTGCCGCTCAGGAGGGGGCAGTGACAAAGGCAGCAGGGATCTCCCTGTGGGGCACACATCTGCCCAGCTCCTGCCAGCCCTGCAGAACATCCTGTGTCAAGTCTGCCTGACTGGGAGCTGCTCTCCAACACCGCTGATGACTGACCTGGGTGCTGGGAGAAGGAGCTGATAAGAAAGAAAACAGAGGTGGAAACACCAGAACCGAGGTGGTGAGCAGTGTGCCATGCCCAGGCCTGCAGTAGGTTCCTGGCAGAGGCAGGTTAGAGCCACAGCACCCCTGGACCCAAGAGAAACCTTTAAGAGGAGAGGGGTGTCAGTGACCCCTCTCCCTGATGAGCCCCTTTTCTTCCCAGAGGAGATTTGTCCCCCACAAAGGTTTGCTCTCCTAGAGGCAGCTGGCATGGGGTGCTGAGCCTTTCTGGGGGTGATTGACTCCACTCACTGCCCCAGAGACTGAGATTCCTCCCAGTGACAGAACTGAGGAGCCTCTGTGCTCAGCACCACACAGCCCAGCACGGGGACTCTGGGTGTTAGGGGGCATTTCCTGGTGCCCGGCAGCCTGCAAGGAGAGTCAGCTTGGTGCTTTAGTGCACAGCAAAAAAACTCCACCATTTATTTCACAGCTTGTGGGAGTGCCTGTGGCTGAGGCAGCTGATGGAGGGAAGGAGTTAGAGCTGCTGGACAACACATGGGAGGTGTTCACCTAAGTCCTCTTGGTAACCTGCAGGTGCCAAGGACCACAAAGGATGCTGGAGCTGCTCCCCCTCAGCCAGATGTGCTGTCACAGCTCACCCTGTTTCCCTCCAGGCCAATGATGCTCATCACCTTCACAGCGAGGTGCTGCCAGTGTGTGAAGAACAAGCTCTTGTCACCATTGTGGGGCCTTCTGTTCTCTTGCCACGGGGTTTTCACTGCTGTCACACCACTCCAGACTGCTCCACTGTGCTGGCATTGGCCACCTCCTGCAGGCTGAGGAGCCCAGGCACCTCTGCAGCCTCGTGCTGCTGGATGAGCACTTGTCCATGGCCCTGTGCCAGCCTTGAGGGCAGGGCAGACAGCCTGGGCCCTCTGCCACCCATGTTCCTGGCATGCAGCCACCACCATCTCAGCAGCCCCTGTGACTTTACATCCCAGGAAAGGCCCCGAGTGCTTCCTTAGCTTTCTCTGCGATAGCCCCACTGCAGTTGCCACTGGAGCTCCTCTTCACATCAGATGCCTCACGTTGGTGAGAAAGGGTTTGGGCACAGCCCTCTGTGCCAGCCAGGAAGGCTGTCCCAGGCATCCCTCCACCTCCAGCCCTGAAGCAGGAAGCTCCAGAGCACCCACCTACCTGAGGCAGTGCAGCCCAGCAGACAGACACCATTTTCCTTCTGTCCTCTTGCAGGACAGCACAGCTCTGGGCAGGAGGCAGGTACCCCATGGCAGTGCTGCTGGAGGGGGGCCCAGCTTCCCTTGCCCACCCCAGGTAGGGCTGTGGCTCACATCAGCCACTGCCACAAGCCAGCAGTGGCCTGCAGCTTCAGTGAAAAGTACCTGGTTCAGTCTCTCCCCTCTCAAGCCTTTTCTCCCCCAGTTCGTCTGCTAGGACACACAGAAACCACGTCTGCCTCACCATTTATAAAACTTCCCCCAGTTGCTGTTTTACAATGGGAGCTGGGCAGTGTCCAGCTGGGCCCAGGCCCCCACACTGTGCTCATCTTGGAGCTGGGGCCTGCCCTTCAGTGCCAGGAAGCTGTCAGTGCTGGCAGGAGCAGGTGTGGAGGTTCCTGCTTTCTTGAGGCAATGCAGGAACAGTTCAGGTTGACCCTGACATCAACCCCAGGGCCGTGGCTGGTGGTAAGAGTTGATTCAGGCCCTTGGAAAGTGGCTGCACACCGGACAGCACAGCTGCAGTTCCACAGGCAAAGGGAAAGGAAGCTCTAGAACCACCAGTGAGGAGAGGGGTCACAGCTGTGCTGCTGGGGCCAGACAGTTTTTCCCTCAGTGGCCAGCTTTGCCTGCCCCCTTGTGCTGCCCAAAGCGTGACAAGGGCAGAGGGAGGCCTAGCTAGGGCAAGACAAACCGAGCTCACACATTCCTTGCTTGAAAGGGCTAAAAATTCATGCAGGCAGTGGAGCAAGAGGTCAGTATGTGGAGGGGTGAGGGCAGGGTGGTGGAAGGACGAGTTCTCTTCAGCCCTGGTTGGAGACAATGGGGCGGCTGATGGTGCTGTTGGTTGTCATGGCTGAGAGCTCCCATCTGCAACACACCAAGAGGACACACACTCAGAGAAAGCACAAACACAGTGCCCAGGGCTAGAGCAGCTTTGCCTCAGCTACAATCTCCAGCCCAGCCCACAAAGGTGCCCAGGGCCCTGGGCAGCCCTCAGGCAGGGCTGGAGCACCCCAAGGTCAGGGAGGACCCAGGGTGAGCTCCCAGCAAGGCACACCATACCTGATGTCGTGGGGAAGGCAGGACTGGTCCAGGCTGTACTGAATCACTGCTAGCTTACACAGCGTCTTCAGACTGGGGCCTGGGAAAAGAGAGCAGTTTAGCTACAGCAGCCTTTGACTGGACACCATGGAGGCCCCAGCATCATGCAATCAGTGCCACAGGAAACAGGGCAGAGCCTTGTCTGAGGGACAAGAGTGCACACCAGGGACAGGCTGGGGTGCTCCCACAAGAGGCCTTGCGTGCAGGAGTGCACAAAGCATGGCTGCAGCTCTGGCTGCTCTGCCTTGAGCCAAGCACACTGGTCAGACACAGCTGTCTGGCTCCAGGACATGGCACCTGCAGCCACAGAGGGCACATTTAGGTGCTTCACAGCAGGGCCTGCTCACAGGGCACCTTGTGGTAAGAGGTACAGGCTGGGCAGGAAGTGCTCACGTACTGAAGTCGAGGATGTAGAGATCCGAGTGATCCATCAGGTCAAATTCATCACCCATTCCCTCCTCTGGAGATGGGCTGCAGAAACCAAGCACAGTGTGTCAGTCAGTGCCAAAATTCTTATACACCAGCTCACCAAGGGCTGAGCAAGCCCAGGAATGTCCCTGGCCTCCCTGTCCCAGGCAGGGGCCCTGTGATCCCTCCTGGCCCTCTGAAGTCCCAAGGAGCACTCAGAGTCATCACTTTCTCAGCTCCTTGCAGAGTAGGCAGAGCTGCACAGGAGCCAGGGAGCACAAACCCACACTATTTCCTCTGCAGGGCATGGGAGATCTGCCTCCTTTTCACGGATGACCATGATGATTCCACCATGAGCCTCCCCCTCACCTCAACTGTCCATCACTCCTGTTCTCATGTATTTAAGGTCTACTGCATTTATTTCAGATTGGCCCCTGAGGTGCTGTGAGAGGAGTGTAGAGAAAGCAGCTAGAAAACATCTAAACATCTGCATGGCAGGGCAAGCACAGACATTTCTCAGTCTGACTGAGGAATCACTTTGGACTCTGGCCACAGCTGGAGTGGTTGAGCCAAAATGGGGATGGCATTTCAGAAGACTGTAGCTGAGCACTGAGCAATGCAGCAGTCATTTTAAACCAATCCCAATTTGCTGATACTCCCATTTGATGTTGCTCCAGGAATGCTGATGAGGAACAACAGCACCAGGCATTTCTAGGGAACAGCGAGCCTCACCTATGGTTTCCTGCCACAGTGGTCTTGATTGAACAACCAAAGCACCTGAGAGACTGGACACTACATCTCCTTGCACAGACAGATCAGCCTGTGCTGAAACAGGGGAAAATACTCCCTTGGCTGATGGTTGTTTGGAGAATTTGAAAGAAAGGAAAAGTGTTTTAAGTCCTGCTTTGGTCTGTGACAAACCAACTTTGTGTGCCCTCATCTTTTAGCTGGGACCAACTTCATGCAGTGACTCCTTGCCCCAGTGTCTCTTGTTTCCCCACTAAGCTTCACACTCATGGGACATGAGGCAATACCTGCTCCCCCAGGTCCCCACAGCCTCAGGGCAAGCTGAGAGCACAGCTCAGTGCTGGCACAGACCTGTTGCTGATGGGACCCATCTGCCCGGATACAGGCAGGAGCCCCTTAACCCCACCTCCTGTGCTCACCACACCACAATCTAATCTCACATCCACGTCACAGGAAACCCCAGGCCATCCCTTATCTATCAAAGGCAAGCCAGCAGGCACCACGTCTGTGCCTTCAATCACCAAAAGGAAAGTAGCAGGGTGAGCCTGGAGTTCAAGACCAGGCAACCCCCTGCAACTCCCAGGCAGCACAGCAGCGTGCAGGGCACACCTCTGGCAGCCAGAGCCCAGCAAAGCTGCTCACTGCAGCTGCAAAACAACTCACCCTGCACCCAGTGACAGCCCCTATTCCCTCACCAGAGCCAGGATTCCTAAGCCTTGTCAGGGAAAACACAGTCTCAAGCCAAATCTGGATCAGCATCTCTTCAGCTAAACTGTTTTATAGCATTCCTTCTCCCCCCACTTCTTCCTTGTGGATGGTCTCTGCACACTGAGTTGCTGGTGGGCTTGGGAGGAAACCAGACCAGGGCCACAACTGTGACACAGCTAATGGGAACACCAAGCTTCCTGGTCCCTTAAACGGGACACGAGTGAAGGATTGTTCCTGGCCACAGTGGGGCAAAACCACCAAGCTCTGGCCAAGACTACCACAGAAACAAAGCTTTTGGATGCCCTAAGAGCAAGCAGCCTGCAGAAGCGCCTCTTCAGCAGGAAGTGCGAATCCTGGAAAGGCAGACACAAAGGGGCTCTGCTGCCCATCCCCCAGAGCTGTTCCCTAGAAAGCTGAGCCTGGCGGCTCATCCTCTGAGGATCCCTGCAGGACAGCCCCACCCCTCCCCCTGGCCAGCCCGGGGAGCACAGGTCAGCAGGCAGACCCATGGGAGTTCTCCATTACAACGACTTCCTGGAAAACTTCTTATCTCGCCAGGCAGCTCCAGAATACACCTGATAACTGTTACAGGAAGCCAGCACGGCCCACCCCCACCTCCCACTTCCCCAAGACCCTCCCTCCAGCCCAAGCTGGCTGCATTCCTGGCTGCCAGCAGCTCTTCCCAGTCCACACTAGTGCTGATGAATGTGCCTGTAATGGGGTTGAGCCTGACCTAAGAAACAAGCTGAATTCTGAAGTGGTTCATGGAGAAGACAAGGCACTGCTGCATTGCCTGGCAATGGTGAACCAAACTCCAAAAAGCTGGTGTCAATTTTGTTGTGGTTTGCTAGCATTTCCCAGGAGTGCCAGGGTTTAACATCAAAGTTCAGCTGCTGCTGCAACACAAATCTACACAGCACAGAATCTGGGACCCCCAAAACTCCCCTAAAGTCCTACCAAGCCCTACCTTCTGCTGTACTGAGCAGCAGCCAGTATCTTTTGAGGAGACTGGATAAACTCAGCACCTCTGCATACCTCACCTGCACTAAGCACTCCCTCAAAGTCACATGGACATCCTACAGGTAAGCACACTCCCCCTTCATCCATCACACACTGGCATGGTCAGGTCACCCTTGGTTCTGTGCCCCAAGTTTGCTTCAGAAGCATCCCCAAAAAGCTACTGTCAAGAACCCAGAGAGAGCCCCAAAGCTTTCCAAACGACGTGGAGAGCTGAAAACATTTAAGATGTCTCTGCAAGGTAGATACTGGCAAGCAGGACTGTGCTCCAGAGCTGCAATTTGTCACTCCAGACAGCATAGAGTGTGTCCTGGTGATAGGCCACTTCCTTTCTTTTAGCAGCTGTTAAGGCTCTTGGCCACATCCAGCTGCCCTGCACCCTGACAGGATCACTTCCAGTGTTTGACAGCTAAATCCATAACACCAGGTCCCTGCTGTGAATGAGAATGTTGCTAAGGAACACTGGCAGAAGGCAACATTGTCTTGTCATGTGTGTAGGCTCCTCAAACAGCTCCCAGCTGAACTGGCATCCCACTGCAGCCTGGCAGCAGAACCCACACTTGCCAATGGAAGAAAGAAGCTCTGGTGGGAGAAGCAGGGCAGCATGTAGGTGAAGATAAGTCAGTTTGAGGTCTGCTCTGGCACAGCAGACTGAGATACATGTCCTTCTGACAGCAGGATTTCCTCTCTTATCCCCACAACCTCTTTACCAGAAAGCTTGAGCACTGCACAGCCCCTCCTGAGCAGCCTGTTACACCCTTCTGTCTCTACATGTACAAGATGGTTGTCACCAGAAGCTTTACAAGCTTACATGACACTTCAATCTCTTCCACAGCCTTTTTTCAGGGGACCCTGATGTCCATGATTACCTACACTTGTCAGATAGGCTGACACTTGCCACGTGCCTTTGAAGTCCATCTGATGGGTCAGAGTGTGAAGGGACACTGTGCTGAAGGGACTGGCAAAGCCTCTGGAGGAGCCACCTCACACAACTCACCTGGTACCTCCAAAGAGGATGATTCTGTCCCCCACCCTGCAGCAGCACTGCCGGCGCCGGGGACACGGCCCCTTCCCCTTGGGCTCAATCTTCCTCCAGGAAAGAGAAACTAACAGGAGGAAAAAAGAGAAGACTTGTCACAAGAGCCTGGCCAAGACAGCTATAAGCAGGTAGTGAATTTAAACAGATCACAGGAAAAGCAGAGGCCCACTATCCCAAGACACCAGCCAGCCAATATCCAGCCTCCCCCCGACCTCCTCAATAATGGCCAATCATGCACTTCCATGAGGCTGTTCCTGAAGTGCCAGTCACAGTCCTGGAGCTCTGCCTGCTGAGACAGGATTTGCAGGTCATATAATAGAATGGTTTGGGTTGGAAGGGACCTTAAAGACCATCTTGTCCCAACCCCTGCCATGGGCAGGGACACCTTGCACTACACCAGGTTGCTCAGGGCCCCGTCAAGGCCTTTCACTTGCAAAGCCTGAGCACCAGGACCCACAGACTGCCACGGCAGCGGGTCCCACATCACAGGGAGCTGCACTGGGCAGAGCTGCAGGGACAGAGAGGCCTCCCTTCCCCAGAGCCTGCTGCGGTCGGGATTTGGAGGAGGAAGATCCAGGAACCAGCTCCATCTGCTGGCAGGCGGCGATCGCAGAGCACCCGGGCAGAGGTGCCTCAGCCGCTGGGATAGCTCGGCTGCGGGAGGAGGGCGTGGAGAACTGGGCCAGGTGGGGACAGCAGCCTTTGTTCTTGCTGCTCTCTGCGCCAAGGATGCTTGGGGGCGACAAAGCACAGGACTGAAGCCTGCAGGAGCTCTGCCAGCTCACAATCAGCTTGGGGAGCAGCTGGTTGGCTGCTCTCAGGTAACTTTACTAGAAAGCAATTAGCAAACAAAATGAGTCTAGACAGTGAAACGTGCCTGAGGACCCCAAAGCAGCTCACAGCTGAGTGATATTCAGGGTACCAGCTGAAGAACCCCCCTTCTGCAGCACAGTTTGAGCTGGTACCAAGAGATGGTGATCCTGCAGCTCAAGTTGAATGGTTTCTCCAGCTGTGGTTTCTCTCTTCCCTAAAACCTATTGCTTTCCCATATCTTCTCTTTTGTCAGTACTTTTGCATATTTAAGAACAAGACAAAGTTTTTCCAATGAAATATGTCTTTCAGCAATACCTAATTTTCTATTTTATAACTGAGATCTGGGAACATCCCAAGGAGGAACAGACACAGGAGTGATTTGCTGTCAGAAGAGCCAAAAGGCATCCCCCCCAAGCAGTACTCCTTGGACAGTATGTTCCTCACATGCCTGAGGGCCTGGAGCACTATCACTGCAGCAAGTTAAAAGCATAAATACCTGGATTGAATTTCCAGAGGTCATGGAAGTGTCTGTTCAGGCGTGCATTGTAGCCACCAAATACATAGAGCTCCCCGTTGTAGCTGACTGTAGGGAGTAAGCACAGACATCAGAGGGCACCCAGCAGGTCCCTGACCCAACACCAAACACAAACCAACGTGGTGCTGGCTGTCCACCTCTCCTTACATCACCTTCACGTGCAGTGTGGAGTGCAAGGCTTTTTGGTGGGCAGCAGCTTTGCACAGAAATTGCGCTTTGTGCAACCCTTTCTAACCCACAGCCCCACCCAGCAGAGCAAACACCCCTCCTAAGGCAGGCAGAAACTTCCCTCCACCCTCAGCAGACCCCCACTCACAGGCTGAAGGGCAGAAACTTCCCTCCACCCTCAGCAGACCCCCACTCACAGGCTGAATGGCTCCTCCTGCCCTCAGGGAGCACGGGGGTGTGAGGGGAGTCCAGCCAGGAGTTGGTTTCTGTATCAAACACTTTGATTCTGTTACAGTAGATCTCGTTGTTAGAGTGAAAGGGCCCAAAGCGATCAGCTCTGCCCCCAAACACGTACATCTTTGTTCCAATGATGGTAGCTGAATGAAAGTCTCTCCAGCGAGCTGGAGTGCCCTGAGGGACAGAATAGAAAATAAAAACAAAAGAAAGAGTGCAGATCAGCCAGGGAAATAACACATCTTGATGGGGAAGTTGGGTGGCTGCCTTATCCTGGAGAACTTCCCATCCTGTAGAGCCCAGCCACATCAGCCAGAAGCTGTGAGACAAGTGTGGGCAGCTACCCCAGAGAATGGCAGATGCAAAACTTCCTCCACAAACCAGAGGGAAAAACAGACACTGACCTTGGCAGAGATTAAGGTCCACGTCATGTTTGTGGTGTCCAATTTATGGATGTCATTTGAAAAGCAGTCAGCCTGGAAGACACAAAAGCAGCTTGGTCACAAAGGGACTGAGAAGCCTGGTCACATCCAGCCCCAGAAGGATGCTGCCCTGCAGAGCTGGAGCATCCCTTTGGATTCAGTGCTTCCTAAGGAACAAGGTGCTTGCTCAGGCAGCAAGAGGAAAGCAAAGCCCGTTTCTTCCCAAAGGAGTCCTGTCTCTTCCTGCAGCTTTCCCATTTATTTGGTGCTCAGTTCCTCCCCCAAAGGCTGTCCTGCACACAGTACATTCATGGCAGGAGTTTGCCTCCTCTCCATGTAGCAGCAGACAAAAGAGGCATTAGCAGGACAGTCAGAGTGGCTCTGCCAAGGCTGCCTAACGAGATGCAGAAGCCAAGATTACATCCAGGAGCAAATACACTCCAGGTTCTGAGGCCCCACAAAACCCATCTGCAGCTGGCTGCCTGGAGGAGACTGCATTCACACAAACAAAGTGGACTCCTGCTCCTCCAGGCAAGGTACAGAGCAGCAAGACAGCCAGAGGTTTATTTGGTCATGGTTAAAAAAAAAACAGACATCTGAACCCCTCCTGCTGCTGTAATCAGTATAATGGATTTGGCCTATCACCCTCAGAAAAGAAGGAATAACCCAGAAACTTCTGTGACAGAGCTCAAACTTTCTTCCAAACAAACAGACGCGACTTTGCACACCTGTTCTGGAATCTGGTGATAATTTTTATTTACCCACTTTTTAAGATTACATCATGAGGATTTGCTAAAAAGAGCATTAGGTACACTGACAGCTATTGCAAGATGAACTTTGGCTCAGGGTATTCCTAATGGGAAGGCAACCAAATGTTTGCTGAAAGGGATCAACAAGATGTCAGAGGAGGTGAAGACTGCAGGGAACATACACCAGACTAGGACAAAACCTCACAGCAACACTGCAGAAAGTGATTTTTCTGGCTCACTTCTGAGACAAATTAAAATAAATGTAGATCAAGATATACTTATTGAAAATGTTGTGTATTTATGTATCTACATTTGGCTGAGAAATGAGCCAGAAAAAAAATTAAATTTTTACCTCTTTGTGGTAAATATGTTTTGTGAAATTTAAAAAAAATCCAACACTTTTTTGGACTTGCTTCTCCAACCACCTTCTCCATAAAATAATTAGCATAACCTGGGCACTAATGCCATAACTTTGCTAAGTTACAAAATGACAGTGACTTGGAATACAAACACACCCCCGTGTCCTGCCTCTATCAGTGTCCTGGGTATCAACACCCTCTTTCCCAAGGGCTCACCAATTAACAGTTACAGAGATCACTCACCAGCTGTTCATAGCCTCCAAAGATAAACATGCTCTTTGCCAGGACACAGGCTGAGTGCCCATCTCTTGCCCCTGGGACCATTCCAGAGACCTTTGGTGTGAACCACTTGTGTGTGTCTGAAACAAAACAAAAGGCAATGCTGAGAAAACAGAGCAGGACTTGGGGTGGGATAGTTCTATTACTACTGTTCTTAAATTTCTAAGGCAAAAATAATTCTTGCTTTCTCACAAAGCAGCTGCTCTGCCAGAGAGGCTGCAAGCTTCTTTGGGCAAGGCTACCTGCCTGAGCCCCCACAGAGGGACACAGTGACAGAAGCCTCAGCCTCTTGGCATGGCCACAGACCTGACAAAGAGCTCACATTTTAAGTGTGAGTAGTACAGCAGGGCTTGAACAATGTTACTTTTACAGAATCTCTTGCAGAGTGTACTTGTGAGTCACTTATCAACTCTGCATTCACACTTTCTATTACAATGAAGCAATAATGCTAAGTGGCACAACTGACCTCAAGGCGTGGAGATGCTCAGTAAGTGAGCATGACTGAGGAAAAACAGCTCTCAAACCCAGATACAAATCACTTAATCACAAGTTCTCCATGTTAGCTGTTGTGCATATCTCCACGTCTGCAGTGCAGCTCTCCCTGTCTTATCTGCTCCACTTGTTACATTCTCTCACTTTCCTCACTCTTCCTTTCCTCTTGCTCACTCTCCACCCTTCACAATGCTCCCTGTGAGCCTGCACAAACACATTCAGCCCCTCAGCCTGCACACTCCAGGGGCTGGCTTGATTTAGAAGATGACTTAAATCCAGGCAGAGCTGCTCTCCATGCCAGGGCAGCAGAGCCAGGCCAGGCCTGGGTGCCAAGCACTAACAGGCACCTGCCCCAAGAGCTCCCAGAGGCACAGATAAGCCCTGAGGCTGCAGGAGACATTCCCTCACCATCCCTAACAGCCCTTGGCTGCCAAGAACAGTGCTTATTTCAGAGAGTCCTGGAGCCAAAGCATGAGGATGACTTCCCTGAACTTGGCCTGTGGACACAAGTGTCCACCTATGCTCCAGCTGGCACCACACAAAGGGTCTTGCAAGGTCAGCAGAATCCCTGGGGAGCCTCAAGTGTGACATCCCAGGGCTATCGAGTTCCTTCTCTCCCTGGGGCTGCTTCCAAACTCAGTCACACTGTATCAGCAAAAGCTCACCCAATTGCAGCATGGAAAAAACCTCAATTTGGGATCTGCTCAACACTGCAGGGACAAAACTGCCCTCAGATAGGACTTTATTTAGCCTGATGTGACTCCTACAGTGGAACTTACACTGCAGACATGGCACTGTGACTGCCAGCCACACTTTCCAGGAATGGCAGGCCTGTGTGTACTGACAGCTGCAGAGGGTTTGGAGCAGGACTTTCTGTTAATTTTCACTTAATGCTAAAGCACTGTAGCTGCCAGGGAGACTGGGCAGGTCCCACTATAAAGCCTCTGTGTAGGCAGAGCTTTACTGGTGGCTTCTCAGCTGCATGTGGCAGGGGAAGGAAGGGGGAAACCCTGTGCCATAAGCTGTAAGATATTTCCTGGTAAAGAAAACATCCATGGACCAAGCACCAGAACAAGCAGTTTCCTTGCAAGCTCAGTAAGATAGTTACTGGCCAGTATTTAGATAGACTTGCATCCAGAATCCAGATATATTCCTTTTCTTTCCTGACACTTGTGTCCATGCAGTTCCTGATGGTGCCTTTTCTCCAGAGGTGCTCCAGCAGTGCTATGGAGAAGCCAAATAAAAGGCTCAAGGAGTTTATTTTTCAGGTTTATCCAACTTGACTCATGTCTCCCCTGATTTTGCCATCCTGTGCTGAACTACTCCTGTGTTTTGTTCCTCACTCTCCTTCACACCTTCAGAAAGAAGAACCACACTGGAGAGGAACCACAATCATCAAGGGCCACAATTAAGGAATACTATATCACATAGAGAGAACACTTCAATTATAGCTACTATCAGAGAGAGCACACAAAGCTGATAGAAAGATTAAAACCATTTTCATTATTAGAAAAGATCAGCAATCTCTGCCCAAAGGCTTGTAAGCACAATGGCCACCATACTCCTCTTCTAAAACTGCTCAAACACAGTGACACCATTTCCTCCAGACTGTCACTGAGGGACAAGAAAACAAGTTGGGGAGCAGAGAGGAGGTGTGATCAAGACCAGTTGCACCAAGGAGCAGTGAGAAGCTGGAACTTACTGACATCAAAGGCATAGAGCACGTTGCAGGCTCCCTCGGTGTCGTTGCGGCCGCCCCAGATGTAGACAGTGTCGTCGATGAGCACGGCCGAGTGCCCATACCTCATGTAGGGCACCTCCCTCACGTGGTCTCGGCTGTTTGTCCACACTGGAGGCAGCTTGATCCAGCGTAGAGACACTGGAAACACAAGTTTGAGCCCATTGCTGACAGTTCATAACCCATCCTGTGTGTTGCTTTTTACCCCGTGACAAGGGGCAGAAGCAGGTGAGTAAACAAGAGAAAGCTGTGTCTGACCCCGAGCAGTAGCTAGTTAAGAAATACAGAAGACAAAACCAGGCTCTGTTCTACAACAATTCATTGAGAAGGTTTCCACTCTGGCTCATCCTAGACTGTGAGTGAAAGATACAGCACATACACAAACAAATAGGGAAAGAAAAATGAAGAAGTACAGAGGGGACGATGAATGCAGACACTACTTCAAGCCAGTGAGATTGCTGAAGAGACTCAAAGCTGGAAAAATGGGCAGCACAGGAAAAACTCACTGCAGAAAAATGCAAGGGAACACCTGAAGACTTGGACTTGCAGAAGCACAGTTTAAGTAAAACAACCCAGCAGTTTTGTAGGAACTGGGTTTGTTTGCTTTTGTTTTGGTTTTCAAGCTACAGATGAGGTGGCTGTCTGCCTCCTTTACCCCACCTGTATTCAAGTTCTCCCTGTTAACCTTGCATTACTAATAGGAGTTCCTTGGGATTACAGGTTCCCCTTCCTGTGTGTCATGTCCAGCAGCAGCCAGAACAGTCAACAGCTATTACAGGGTTTAATCACAGTGCAGGAGCCACAGCAAGTGTTACATAACAGCACCAGTCACCCTCCTTCTACCACATACAGCCTCCAGGTTTGTTTTCTACACAGAGCTGATACAAAATACAGCAGAAAAGAGTCTGCAGCTCCTCTGAAATGCTAACATAGGGAAAGGGAAAAGTCAGGCATCTCAAAAGGTGGGCATCTACCCCACAGGCAGAAAGGGCACTGAGGAAGCATATCCAATGCTAAAGTCAAGCTAGACTGGATGCTTCCTACCTAAAACATAGTTTTCACCTTTGGAAAACTCATTCAAAATCTGGTATCTTGGCTTTAGCACTGCCACCTGACAGTGCTAGCTGAGCAAGGGCTTGGGAAGCCACTGTCACTTCCCATGTGGTGGCTGCAGCATTCTGACACTTTAATACTTGGGAGTGGTAAGAGGCAAAGAGCATTCCTTTGGGCACAGTCATTATGCTTCCCCAGAAGATTGCTGCTCTCCTTGGCACGTTCTACAACATTCAGCTGTGTTGAGTATAAAAGCCCAGTCCCTCTGGACAGAGGTGAATGTCACTGTTCACAGGATGCTGAGCTACACCCCCTCTACACTGAGAGCAGGTCACCTTAGCAGCCCTCTGTAACCAATGCTATTATCCCTGCTGCACATCAGCCTTAAAGGAGTGAATTCACTGCATTTGACAGGTTTGTCTACATGTGGGTGCTCACAGAGCATTCAGCACGCTGTCCAGTCTCCAAAACTGGTCATTGGTTCTCTGTTCTTGGCCCTGTTTAGCAGGAGCCACCCAAGCATCTGTGCAGTTTTTTAATCACCTGCCTAATTACAGGGAAATGCTTAAGGGACCAGCTCAGTAACCTCTTTAGTTCAAGGAGCACTCAATCAAGAAATACAGCCTGTGCCAGCACAACCATGGCTCCAACTCAGCCTCATGACAGGTACTGGTTACCCTACACAAATGGCTCCAGTTGCAGATGCTTTTCTAAGCTATGCTGTGAATCTGCACGATAGCTGTTACCAAAAAGGGAAGGCCTCCCTCCCTCCTAGCCACATGCCCCTACTGACTCCAGTTGTCAGCTGCCCCCACAGGGAAACAGCTCAGATGTCTACACCTGGAATCTTTAGTGAGTGCACTGGCTCCTTCCACACTATGGGCAGCTGAACATGGACATGTTGCCATGAGGGGGGACCTGAGCCAGCTCAGTATCACCTCTTTGCACCTGGCTGACTTTGTGTTTGCACAGAACAAGGACAAACCAAACCATGGGCTATGTGACTATTTCAGTGAGTCCTTATCCTAGCAGTTACATGAACTAGAGCCCCTCAAGCTGAAAATGCAAGGCTGCACAAAGAAAAAGGCTTCTACCTACTCTGACAACATTTTCTGGAAATTAAGAGTCAGACAGCACGTTACAGGGTATAACATGTCAGGCACCAGCAGGTGAGAAAAGCACTAAGTGAGCCCAGCAAGCCAAGCCCTTTGTGCCCACAAGGACATGTTGCAATCATATTGTTGTTATCATATTTCTAGAGTCCGTACCTTCTGGCTGGTTTTCTCACATGCAGCTCTTCTCAGCAGTGTTGTTCCTTGTGGCTCCATCAGGGCTCCTCCAAGGCTCTCAACCCACCCCTTTTTTTTATCCTAGTTGCCTTCACGACCACAGCTGCTGCCCAACTAAGGACTTCACAGCTGTAGCTTATTGGAATATGAATCCCAATATTACCAGTTAGATGGTGCCTGGGCCAGTCTGACCCTCGCTGCTGGGCCAAAGGCAGCAACTGTGGTGTAAATCACCCCAGAGATACCTGTGGCTTGCTGGTGGTTAGCTCATTTAGAATAACTAGGACTGGGGCAAGGCCACTTATACAAGCACATAGATTTCACAGGGACTCCAATACAAGGACAGGTTTACCTGCGTTGAACACGTGCACGTCGATCTGCCGCAGGGTCTCATAGTCCTCTCCCGAGCAGTAGCCGCCGAAGGAATAGACCTTGTGGCCCACAGCCACGGCCGCGTGGTTCACCCTGCGTGGGCCCCCTTCCAAGTGCACTGCCCAGCGGAGCATTCCTCTGCCAGCCCGGCGCTCTTCAGGGCCCCCAGTGCCACAGCCGCATGCTTCCGAGGCCGCTGCGAGGGCTGCAACGCACACACAAGGCCAAAATAACAACACCCGCCCTTCCCTGAGTGCCTGCTGCAAGGGTTACCTCGGTGTGCCCTCATTCACCTGCCTCCCAGCTGGGAATGTTCCTCTTGGGCTCAGAGGAGCAAGCAGAGGTGCCCTTGCGCACAAAACCCCTCAGGGTGGCTGCACAGGCAGCCCCAGCCAAACACCTTCGGCCTGGGCACGCACACGTCACGGTCATGTCAGAGCCATTTGTGTGCATGGATGAAAACACGCAGCGAGAGCCAGCGGTGAAGGTGAAAAGAACAAACCCAGAGGGAAGAGCATGCTCTTTGGATCAGGTCTGAGAAACAGCAGAGGAAAAGATTAAAAACAAAACACCCAACAAAAAAACTCCAAAGAACCACCCCTACATAAAGCAACCAACTTCTCGTTGTGAAAAACGCATGTATTTTATGATTGGCTTTTTGCAAATATTAAAATGAATATTATATGTGTTGTGTTAGAAAGTAATGCTGTATTAATTCTCTTAAGTACTGTGTTAAACATAGTTTTAGGTTATAAAAAATGTTAAAATAGAAACTATGCTATGTAGGATACTTTTTTTAAAGAAAGGACTGGCAGTGAGATAGCAGCCACAGGACACCTCAATCTTTCAGAGAAAAAGAATTTATTGCCCTCTTGTCAGAAGAAATGAACTTCTTTCCGCCTCGAAGGCGCTGTCAGGATTCAGAGGAAGGAGCTGACACCGACCAGACAGAATCCTGTGTTTGAATGGAATTTATGCATCATGGATGAGGTGTCTGAATATGCAACAGGCTGTTGCTTTTAAGGGTTAATCTTTTGTTAATGTGGGTCCTTTTTCGGGCTTTAGCTGCCCAGAAAAAGGTACCCAGATGTCCATAACTCTTTGTCTCTATTGTCTCATATTGTCCTAATTCAAACTGTCCAAATTGTTATTACTCTAATTGTATGACTATTTTTATAACCATTTTATTACTATTAAACTTTTAACATTTTAAAAACAAGTAATTGGCGTTTTTCACACTGTTATAGGGCTGGGTGACAACATTAGCATTTGGACTCATTGATTTGAGCACTAGGGTTCAATCTAATTAGACACAAGAGAGCAGAAGCCCCCTAATTTAGGTAGAAAGCTCTTTGCTGATGCTCAGAAAAGGTCTTTTCCTCCTATAGCAAACCCAAGCATAACTATGAAAATTCTGTAGCATCACATCTTGTTAAGCAACTGATATCCTTCATTCCTCAAACAGATGGCTTAGATCATATCTTAGAGAAGTCACCACAGCTGATTCTTGCAGAGATTCTCCTTTGGATCTAAGAACAAAGAGGAGAGCCCTGCCCAGGTGCTTCTGAAACAGCAGCTCAGTTTGATTTTTAACAATTTTCTCCTAGCTGAAAACAGCCATTAGAAGAGATGTCAGTGTTTCAGACAGCACAAATAAAATTCTCTTATTTTATTTCTTGTTTCTAGGTTATTGAAAGGTTCAGTCAGCATGCTCCCATCTCACAATCAGTTTCAGCCTTTGCAGAATCCAAAGAAATTTGGGGATGCCTTTGAACAAGGACTAAATTCCTACACATAAAATTCCTATGCTCTGCCCCATTTATTTTGGAAAGTAATGAATTTTTGCAAGGAGGACTTTCCTCCTGTTTTAGGTTTCTGAATTGGCTGGAGGGCAGCAAGAGGGGCAGTGCTGTGCTGCCCTGCTCCATCTGGCCACCCCCAGCCCCTCAGTCAAGTGGAATCACTGCTCACCACGAGGCCCACCAGCAGCCTGGCCACCCCAGGGCCCAGCACACCCACACTCTCACATTTTATCCCTCCTGCAGGCAGAATAAGGGATGCCACCAACAGGGAGCTCCTGGCATGAAGCAGAGCTTAGGCTTCCAGCTTCATCCACTGACTCCATAGGCAGCTCAAAACCATTCAGTAACCACTCACCTCATTCCAGAACTCTTAAATAGCATTAAAATTTGAGTAGCTTATTTTAAAAGTTATTTATTTTTTCAGTTGTTTTCATGCTCTGTACATGAATTTGACAGGACACATGCAAAGCCCAAACAGAGACCATCCTGCAGCCTTATTGCAACAGGAGTCTCTCCTGCAAACCTGCCTGTTCCTGCAGCAACCACCCTAACCTAAACTGCAGTCAGGAACCCAGAAAGCTGCAGCAAGCTTTGCTCCAGCAGGGATGCTCCAGAAGGGCCCAGGAACAGCCCACATCTTCCACAGGCCATGCTTCAATTTCAGATCTAACAGGTTTTTTTCCTTAAGCATCTTTTTTTTTTTTTTTAAGCCAGGCAGCACTCTTGCATAAGTCTTCTGCAAAGCTACAGAACAGATGAGTTTCCATGGAACCCACCAAAGGCACCTTCCAAGCTATTTTGAAGGCTTCACATATCTAAATCTGTTTCCTGCCTCAGTCACAAGTTATTCCTGAAAAATCTAACCAATGTTTCCCTCATAATCTCTTCTTGCTTAAGTGATTCTGTAAAATACTCCTCAAGGAGCTTAACTGGTCTTTATCACCACCATCAATATTTTCAACACCCTTCAGACTGAGTCCAATCCAGGAGGACCAAGAGGATGAATCTTATTTCCAAGTTCTCTGCACTGTACCAAGGCCCCTGTATTTTTTGTCAGAAAGGCTGGGAACACTCTTCCTCACCCTTGGGGCTTCCCTTGAGCCAGGTGCAAGGATGCTGGTCTTGTCACTGCCACAGGAGCTGGCTACCCTGCCCCAGCAGTTCTGCCATTCCCATCAGAAGGCAGCTCATCCCAAGAGGTTAAATCTGGTCCACTGAGAAGCTCCAGGCCCTGCCAGAAAGATGCTGAGGTTGAAGCAACAATGTTGGAATGCTGTTTCCTACAATCACTGGGAAAGGTTTTCCCCAGGTGACTGGCAGGTCTGGAGTGGTGGTGAGGGCAATGGGATGGAAGTTGGCCGTGCTCTGCCTTGGCTCTGTGCAGGGATACCCCTTTAGAGCAAACACAGAGCTCTGCCAGCACAGCCTCCTGCTGCCCCTCCTCAGAGCCAAGAAAAGCAAACACTCATCTGAACACTTCACCAAGACAGAATGACCAGAAGTGTGAAGTAATCTTTACAGGTCATGGGGAAACACAGGGTTTAACAAGCTGGCAGGGATTTTCCAAACCCAAGAGCTCTTCTGTGCCCTGTAACAAAAGCGCCCGTGCAAACTCTCATCTTCCTCTTCTGCCACTGGCCACAACCCTACCCTGGAACCATCACATCTTCCTGCCATCACCAGGATTTGTTTGCCCCTTTTCAGCCACACACAGGCCTGGCCTCCCCTCCTCCCTGCACAGCCCTGTCTCCTGAGGGTGCCTCCCCTGTTTCACCCCATGCTGTCTATGCCCAGCTCCAGGTTCTCCTTGCCTGCCTTATTTACAATAATTTCTTTAGACCAATCTTCCCTCCCAAAGCATTTTCCTCTTCTAAGCCCCCTTTGTGCATTATCTGCAAATAAGAGTTAGACACATATTTTGAGAAAAAATTGTATTTTCTGTCCTACACCTATGGACACTGTTGAGTTCCATTCAAGTTTGATTTCCAATGCTAATTTTTATGACATAAATAAACCACTTTTCAGTCCCATTCCTATGAGGATTTCTTAGTAGGAGAAGTGCAGCACTTGACATTAAGCTACAGCTTAGATTTCTTTACAGATCACAGAGGACACAGCCAAGGAGAGAGGGAAAAAACCAAAATTGATAAGAAACAATTTACTAACAATTTCCCCCAATTGTACAATATTAGATTATGCAAAGTACATTCTGTGGTTTCTCATTTAGGACACCAACAAGAATGATGTAGGCTGTAAAACACAAAAATATTGATAAGACAGAGGCAAATTGTATTAGAGAACTGGGAGGGCACTGCAGGATGAGACACAAAGAATCACAGCTTCTGTTCAAGCCACCCTTGCTTCCACTGACTCAGATTAGATCCTCACTTTCACTCTCCAAAAATGAACAGATCTCTTACTTCCAACCCTGCAATCTTCACAACCACCCTTTTCCCTGGTCTGCCATGATCTAGCCAGAAATACAGTAAAGCACAGAGGATGCAGAAAAATGCTGAAACCCCTGGTATGTCCTGTCATTATGGAATAAGAGCATTTCTAAAAATCAGGACATGCTTCACTTACTGGTGAAGTACCTGATGTTGGTGATGCTGGAAATTAAGTGACAAGAGCAGTGTGCTGTTCCCCTGCCACAGAGCACCTGGAGCATTGCACTGCTAAGCCAGGGAACAACCAGATTTCATTCAGCTCTGCCTTCTTCCAACACAGCACCTGCAGAAAGCACTTCCCTATCTCTGCTTGTGCTGTTGCCTCAAGATGCACTTAATGCCTGCAAGAACCTTCATCCCAACTGCTCCAGCTTACACCTAACGAGAGCCTAACAACACAGCACATGGACACCTGAGAGCAACACAAATATCACTCAATAACCTCACACTAGCACATCCTCCAAAACTGTTGTGCTGACTTGAGCACTGTGGCACAGCTAGAAAAAAAATCCCCAAAACAACAACAAAAAAACCAAAGCAGGTTTTAGTCAGATTTTTCACTCGTTTGTTCTACTGGCTTTAGGCTTAGTATTTCCAAACCCTACAACTAGGTATGAAAAGAATTAATTCAAGATAGAAAGATACTGAGCATCTCCAAGTACAGCAGCCAGGTGATGATCTTAAAGCAAACCCATATATCCTTGGATCCACTTTGCTCAAAGGGAGCTCCCTGGGCTCTCTCACTCCTCTATGCACACAGAAGGAAACCTAGAGACATTTCTAAAACCTGCTCAGATCAGCCTTGCTGCACCCAATTCCCAAAGCAAGGGGGACAAACCCAGCAGCCTGGATTGTCAGGGACTCATTCTGCCACCCCCAGAATCACAGCAGCACCCCAAGAAGAGCAGCCTACCCTGCAAAGCTGCCCCAGAGAGCGAATCCTACCGTGTGGCTGCCTCAGTCCTGTCTCCCAAAAGACACCAGCCACAAGGTTTAGTAACCCTTAAAATAGCCCAGCCAGTTCACAGCAGTCCATATAGACTGTTCTATTTCAAGCACATCCAACATACTGTTAGAGATAACATGAGAACAACCCGCTTTCTTCACTTGTGCTTGACATTTATCTAATGCTTGGAGCATTTGTGCTAAGGCAGTGTGAAACTGCAAGCTTGCACATTCAACAGCTCAGGCACTCACAATGCAATTCCAGCCCCAGTAAATTAGATGGTGCTAGAACAGCCCTGGAGCTCGTGCACTGAGCCTGCTCTGGAAGCTCATGTTAGCCATGGAAACCACAAGCCACACTGCTCAGGCACAAATTTATCCCAGTGGCATCCCCACAGCCAGCCTCACCATCTCCTTATTTTTCACCAAATATTTTGCTCACTTACTTTTGCTTAATATTTGGATTCTGCACCTACTCAGCTGAGCTTCTATTCTTCACCTTGCTTCCCAAACCCCAGCTTCTCTACGGAGTGTGCCTAAGCTCTGGAGTTAGGTGTGTGCCTAACCCTGCTTGAGTTCCCCATCAGGAATTTGTCGCAGCCTGTCAAGCTGTTTGTGCCAGGCCAAGGGCAGCCCTTAGGTTGGGAAGCAGGCTCAGGGAAGGCGAGCTGACAGCTTTACACAGGGCTACATCAGTTTGTTCCTCTGCCCTTCTGCTGCACTGACACTGATCCCCGGGCAGGGTGGTGCTCACAGGTGCCAGCTTTCCCTTCCCTCTGCCTGGCACACGGGACTGGCATGCAGCCCCACACCAGCCACGACTGGGTGAGAGAATAAAGGGTCTGAAACCACACGAGCCCACGGGATGGAGAGGGAAGGCACAGCAGAGGTCATGCCAGGGCAGAAGGGCAGCATCCCTAACACAGAGCTGTCTGGGAGGATAGAGATGTGTGTGGTCACAGACTGCTTTAAGGATGGAGAACACAACCAAGATCACAGATTCCAGACAGGCCCACCACTAACCCATGACCTGAAAGCGTCACATTTACAATTTTTTAACACTTCCAGGGATGGTGATTCGACCATTTTCCTGGGCAGCCTGTTCCAACGCCATACTACCCTTCTCGTGAAGGAGTTTTTCCTAATATCCAATCTAAGCCTTCCCTGGTGCAGTTTGAAGCTATTTCTCTTGACCGGCCTGTCAGGTGTTACCTGGGAGAAGAGGCCGGCCCCTAGCTGGCGACAATCTCCTTTCGGGCAGCTGTAGAGTGTGACAGGGTCTCCCCTGAGCTGCCTTTCCAGCAGGCTGAGCACCCTCAGCTCTCTCAGCCGCTCCTCACAGGACTCCCTCTCTGCGCCCTTCACTCTGCCCAGCTCCGGACACGCTCCAGCACCGTTGCCCGCCGCTCCCCGCCCGAGCCCCTCCGTGCGCCCCGCGCCCCCACCCGCCGCCCGCGGGCCCGGCCGAGAGCACCCGGGCAGGGCGGCGGCCCCGCGCCCCCGGCCCTCACGGAGGGGCTCGGCGGGGCTCGCCGGCCTCAGCCTCCCCCGGCCCCGGCATGGCCCCGCCGGCTCCCCCCGCCCCTGCGGCCCCGGCTCCAGCCCCGTACCTGTGCCCGTACAAGGAGCGCCGACAGCCCCGCTCCGACAGGAGCTCCCGACGCTCCCTGGGACTTGTAGTGCGGCGTGGCCCCGCCCGGGTCCGCGGGCGCCCCCCCGCCGGAGCGGCGCGGCCCCGACAGGCCCTTCCGCGGTGCCGGGTCCCGGCCCCCTTCAGGGGCGGCTCCCTGGGTTCCCCGCCCCGCCCGGGCCCGGCCCCGGCGCGCTGCTCCGGCCCCGGCCCAGACCGAGATGGCGACACTCGATGGCGACGCGCGACGGCACCGCCCACCGCGCCCGGGGCCCGCTCCGGGACTACAACACCCAGAGTGCCCCGCGGCGGCCGCGGCGGTTCCGGGCGGCGGCGGCGGCACCTCCTCTTCGCCGCGCCCGGTGTATGGCGGTGGTGCGGAGCATGGGCCCCGAGCGCGTCTGTCCCCGGGAGCCCGGGCCGCCGGAGGGCCCTGACGGTGCGGCCGGGTGGAGCGGCGATGAGGAGGAGGAGGAGGAGGAAGAGGAGGAGAGCGGCGGGTACTTGTATCAGCCGCTGAGCCAGGAACCGGAGCAGGGCCTCGGCGACGCGGGCCCCGGCCTGCAGGAGCGGCTGCAGGTACCGCCCAGCGCCTCCCGCCGGGCCGGGGGTGGCGGCACCCGCGGTCCCGACCCCCGCTGCCCGCCTTTCTCCGCAGATGCTGAGGCTGCACCTGCCGGACCCGCCCGTGGACAGCGAGGAGGAGAATGACGAGGAGGCAGCGGGAGGCGCCGCGGCTCAGAGCAGCCACAGCTCCATCCCCATGGATGCAGGTAACCGCGTCTCCGGCAGGACCCGCCCGGGGCTCCGCCGCGGTCTCACGGCGTCTCTGTTCCCAGAGCATGTGGAGCTGGTGAAGAGAACGATGGCCAGCGTGAAGCTGCCCACCCTGGGCATCCCCGCCTGGGCCAACCAGATCTCGGAGGAGCAGTGGAAGGACGTGGTGCAGCGCACGCTGCAGGCCCGGCAGAGCCTCGGCGGCCCCCGGCCTCAGTGGAACTGAGGGCAGCGCTGCGGCACAGGGGCTGCAAACCGCAGCCCTCCCTCTACCCTGGAAGCACCCGCTGCCTCCGAGCCAGGTGCTGACAGGACTTGCCAGTATCAACCTCCCAGTTTGTCCCACTGACATTGTCTGGTTTTCCTTCCCACTCCTTTTTCTGGGTTCTGGCTGGTGCCTAAGTCAGTGTGATGACCTTGTGTTGGCTTTCTCTACTTCTGAGGAAGCAGATTGGTTTCCATGCCTGGAGGCATATGGGGCGATGGGGCTTGGCTGGCTTTGCCCAGATTCCCTCAGGACAAACACTGGACTTGGCCCCATGCTGACAGTACCAGAGAAGTCATTCTCCAGGCTAGGGCCCCTCCTCTCAGGATAGGGTCTGTGTGTTGGAATATCACAGGTGGAGCACGATGTGTCATTCCAAGAGATTGGTTTTATTTAGTTCTGTACATACAGGGACATCTGTACAAAATCCAACACTTTCATACTATGTAATGCTCTACTGAAAATAAAGTACACCATATGTACATATGAACTGTAAGCAGCTTAATACTTGTGTCCAGGGTGTGAATGCAGTAGTTTTGCTTTTTCCCTTGGGAGGAGCAAGCCAGGTGGAGTGGAAGAGGCAGCTCCAGTTCTGTCCATTTGGCTGATGGGGGGAAAGGCATAGGCAGAAATGAGCAGCACTAATGCTAGAAACCAAGTATTGAGCGAGGGGCAGCTGTAGCGTGGCAGATGCAGGTCTGCCTATGAGCAGTACATGTGGTGAGAGGGTGAGCACACTCCCCCCTGTCTCACATGGTCCCCTTCTGAGGTGTCCAGGACACTGGAATGAATAGGCAGCAAACAAAGGATGATGTGAAGGTACTAAGCCTAAGTTCCCTGACCCAAAACAAGACACAAAAAGCTATGGGAACATCAAAGCTGTACAGCACATAATCATGATGTGTTACAATCCTGCCCCTGCACATGGCACAACCCCAGCAGCATTCCTCTGGCCAGGGTCAGGGGCTGCCAGCAGACACGGATCATCTGCAGGACAGTGCCAGCCCCTGCACACCACAAGGTTCTGTTCCCTCTGCAGGCAGAGCAGCCCACAGCAGGGAAAGGCAGCCACTGCCCAGCAGCAAGCAGGCTCAAGTGAGGGCATACCATGCTGTAGCAATCTAAAAATGAGGTCTTGGCTCACAGCACAAAGCTAAGCAGCCAGTTGGGAGAGCCTGTGCTGAGACAGGAAGGAGCCTCCTGCCCAGTCCGAGCCTGGCAGCCCTCATTTCCAGAGCTGTGCTGCTCTGGCACCACCCGGTGCACGTCCACATGCTGTGCCAGGCGTGAGGTAATCGATTGGCAGCTGATCATGAGCTCAGACTAATGTTCAAAATAAGCAATAACCTCCCTGAGGTGTTTCTGAAGTCTCCTGACACTAGAACTGGCCCGTTGCGTGAGGCGGAGGGGAGGTGGGGCCCGGCGTGACTGGGGGATCTCGCACATGCACCCACCAGCTCCTCCCAAGAGATGGCGGCATTCCTGATAAGGGCTGAGCCGGGAGAGAGCTACACGGGGCAGGGATGCAGGTACACAGGTCAGAACAGCCTCGCTGGGGTGGAGGGAAGATGTGCTGCACACCAGCACCAAGATTAGAGGGAGCGATGCTCTGACCTGGAAATGGTTTCCTGGTGAGGACAAGCAGATACACCAGAACCTTCTACAGCCTCCCGTGCTGCTGCAAAGCAGTGCCAGGCTAGCACCAACCCCACAGCTCCCTGCACCACTGCAAACCCACTTTGAAGCTCATGTGTCAAGAAAGCAGGCACAGCAGGTAAGAAGCAGGAACTCCCTCTCTATGACAAACCAGGTGGCACCTCGGCCTGGCACTGAGTCTGCACCACAAACAACACGGGTGAAAGCCGGATCACAGGAGCACCCAAGCGCTGCACAAGCCCCTGGGCTATCAGCAAGTGTTTCTAAATGCTAAGTTAGCACGGGCCCTGATGCACCAGGTGATAACTAACAAGGGCCTCGGGCACAGCAGGTGCACACGTGACAGGACAGGTGAACTTTGCTCAGAGCACCCACGGAAGCAGCGATTCAGCACTAGTGCTTAGCCATTGATAATAATGAGGAGACAAGTGAACACTCAAACTCGGCCACGCCCCAGGAGGCGCAGCCATTGCTTCCACTAGCTTGCAGAAATGACTAGCAGCACAAGCTTCCTAGAAACCGTGGCCCTGAAGAGCTAAGGATGGGATACAGAGACAAAGGGAGAGCTGCAGGAGTATTTTAATTGAGCAGGTAGAGGAAGAAAGTAGAAGTCAGTGGCTGACACCTGCTACAAAGCGGGAAGTTAATTCTGGGCCCACAATTAACCCGAGACATCGGGAAGGAAATGAGTCAGCACGGACCAACACAAACAGCAGAAGGAATTCACTTTCTCACAAGAGAGCTTCTAAGGATGCTCTAAAGGGAGGACTGCAATAGTATGTAGTGCTTGCACCCAGCTTAACTGGGGGTGGCAAAGCACTGAACCCCCACTCCACTGACAGGGTAATAAAACAAGGGGCTGGTAGCAAAAGAAAGGTGGAAGTAAACATTTCCTCTGCTGTATATTAAGACCCTTCAGCTGTGGAGCTGCACCCCAAGGCAGGCTGGAGAGACAGCAGAGCCTTCACAAACTCTGCTTCTGCCCCAAGCTTAGCCTGGCCTCTGACCATGGCAGGGCTCAGCTGCACAGGCTGCACAGGGGCAGGTGTGGAGGAGATGGGCACCTGGAGTTTGGAGCAGCACGCTGAGCCACGCACAGCAGGCTCTGCCCAACACAGAGCCTTGAGCGAGGCTCTGGCTGCCTGGCAGAGTAAAATCAGGTGGCAGCTCACAGTGAAGTGAGTCCTGCCTGGGCTGATAAAAGCAGAGGGCAGGCAGGCTCCCCTAACACCTGCAGAGCCAAGGTGGGAAAGCAGGAGGACGGAGAAAAAGCAGGAGGACAGGACAGTGGTGAGATACAAGTTCTAACATAAAACCAGATCTACCCTGGAGGTATGCAGATGGAGTGGAGGACAGGCACAGCTCACCATGTTCATTCCTTACTTATACATGAGAACCGAGTGCATTTCCATGACCCCTGGAGGAAAGGGATGGGGCAGAGCTTCCTGGGCCAGCTCCTGAGCCCGTCAGAGAGCCTCCTGGCTTGAGGTGAGAAACTCTTCTGCTCTCTTGTGGGCCTCCAAGGCTTTTATAGTGTAGACGTCCTGCGGAAGCTCAGACTTCCGGCGCAGCAAAACTTTGTCCTTCTTAATGTCTTTCAGCATCTACAAACAAATCAAAGGAGTCAGGAATCAGCAGCAAACCCCTTCATGCCTTCAGCCTCTGACTCCAGCTGCTCCAAATTATGCTGGGTGGCACTGCAGCATGCTTCAGAACAGGCTGAGAGCCAAACACAGACCAAAAGGACACAAGCAAGTCCCACTGGCACTTCTTCCAGAGTGAGAAGGTTAAGAAAAACTCCACTCTTCATACCACAGGTTGATCTCTTAATGATGAAGGGTGAGAGTAGTGGCATTTACCTTCAGAACATTTGGAAAGAGCCAGTTGTGGCTATGCTGATGTCCTGGCTGGACTGGGAGCAAGTGTGAAAGGACTCGAGTCCCCTACGCACCTGCACGGCCTCCGTCTCCACCGTTTTCTTCAGGAGCTGAATGTCCTCTGCAGTCGGGGTCTCCGTCTCCATACAGCACACAGAAGGC